CATATTATAAATTGCAGAAAATTTTTCATACAAATATCGAAAGATGTAGAAATCTGAGATGTGTTTTTTTTTATAAATCACATTCATAAATCACGTTGTTTATTCGTTTATCAACCTAAAATATTTTTCAAATTAAAAATGACTGACCTCTTTCACTTTATCCCTTCGTTGTCTGGCGACATGATCCTTATCCTCTCCGCCGACAGTTAATGGCAGTTTGTCTGCGGATGCTGGTGGCACTGTCACTAATATTGTCTCTTCTTTATGCACAATCAACGACGAAGAACTACTCGTACGCACTCGCGATTCACCCATGTCCGGTTTCTCTAATGTCTTTTGCTGCTGATACTCTTCATCGATTTTTGCCTAAAAATTCGACACAACCGAGATGCATTTCGCGATCGTTTCAGATGGCAAAATTCGCACGGTATTTAATTAATAAACATTGACAATTGCGATACATGATGAAAATCGAAATGCACTGATTCTACTATTAAATTTTACATCTGATTTTATATTTACTTACATTCAAAATTGGATATAAAGAATTATATTATATAAAGATAAAAATTGATAAACTTAATTATAATGTATTGTTATCAAACAAATTATTTAATGCAAAAGTATAAAACTAAAAAGAATTCTAAAATATAAAACAAGTATATTAAAATTATATTTTACTATTTTATTTTCTTCGATATTTTCTATTCTAATGATGTTATATAAATTATTGGCAATAATTTGCACTAATTTTTTACACATAAAAATAATAATCAAAACCGATTTATATACGAGTATGTATCCACACAATAAATACAAAACAAACTTGTTACTAAGAATTAACACATGAGTATTTAATGTTTTAAACAAAATCATTTTAATTTAAGAGACATTATCGTTTACATTAGTATCTCTAAATTGAAGGTGCAGATCAAATTAAATTTTAATTAAATTTTCGTGACTGCTTTCGTTTTATTGATTTGTAGTATAACCGTTAATTATGCAAATATATGTTGTTAATTTATTTTATCTCAAACTTTATCAATCCAAGATATTTAACTCAGCCGTTTTTATGATAAGAATAGACCAGTGCATTTCCATAACGACCACACGTGCCATCTATACGCGATCCACATTCCACGGAAGTACACTCCTTCTCGCTTTATTCACCTCCGAGAAGTGCATACTCTCGAACGCCTTACCGTTATGTCGTTGCCAAAGAAAAGAAAAAAAGAGTTAACACACGAGAACTACTTTTATAACGGAACGATAACCCGTTTCTGTTTATTCTCACAATTCTTCATTTTCCATTTTTAGTTACATTTTACAAGATTGTAAATTTTAAATGATTGTAAATTTTACTTTCTTGAAAAAAAAAGGAATAAAAATTAATATCAAATATCAGATTATTCGTGAAAAATACCGTTATTTGTATTAAGCAAAATTATTATCGTCATTTTATGATTATTCATGTATGCAAATGCACATTTGTATCGAGATGTAGGCGAGATTGCTTTACTCAGTTATACTAACGCTATCTCATATTGTCGCGCTATATTTCCTTTCACGATGCTCATATAACGCTATATTGACGGATCACATTGCGTTCCATTCATACGTGCGTCCTTATCGAATTTAATGCATCTACAAAATTCGAAATAGATGCAAAAAAAATGCAAACATTTGGCAAGATTGAGCCTTAACATATCGTGCAGCAGGATATTAGTAATCAAAATGGTGCGATTTACAGGATTTCGAGCATAACGCGATAGCTAGCGTGACGAATCGCTTGGACATATATTCATCTTTATGAGAAATAATCGCAGCTATTCCTCGCGAAGAGCACTTTCGCAAACCGCGCTTTCGTAAACCGATCACGACGACATGCCGTTTCTGACAAAATTATGATTTATAACGAAAAAGCGCCACAGACGTGTAAAAAACAAGAGAACTATTTACGGTTATTATTTTTCTGCGAAAGAAAAGGGTGACAAAACACCGGAAACGATAACGATGAAACGAACCGTCCATGCGCTTGCGAACAAGATAAATTACGTTTGCCATGCGCAGCTCTAATTTCGCGCTTATCTGTATCAATTAACGTCTCGGGTGAAAAATCTAATGTATTTTATCAAAACGTTTAAATTGATGATAATACAAAATATATTATAGGCAATTCAACGTTCGTAAATTAACGTCAAATCAAACGAGTATGTTTTATTTGTATGTTTTCAATCTAAGTTCTTTTAAACTTTATTTAAATTTTCTCTCCTTTCCTTACTTCTTTCAAATTCATTACTAATCCGTTACAAATAAATAGATATTGTCTCTAAAAAAATAATTATTAACGCATTCGTAGATCACGGTAATTATAGATCTTTTATATCAATATCCAGCTGACACATCGCTTACGAGGGGCAAGATCACGGCACGACCTTGCGCGACCTACTTATATTGAATGGGACAAAAAGAGCTCACGAAACGGGACTTTCGATATACACAACCACATATACTATATAATGCATATACATACGTAGAAAAGCGTGAAATATCGCGCTGTCTCTATTTACGAACAAAATCAATCCGACTTTGACCTTGACAAATTCCTACGATATTTAATAGCCATTTCAGATTTAATTTGAATATGTACCTATATTTAGCAGATAAATATCGGAATCTTGAAAAAGATGTAGGAATATAAAAGAAACCTACGTTACGGAATTGATTATAAAGCATTAGGTCCGCGATATATATGATAAATATTTAAATATTCTAATTAAAATATTCTAATAATAAAATATATGAATATTTTAAAAAAATAATAGTTTAAATGACAATTAAATGCATTACGAATAAGCCATTAATCGCAACATATTGCTTTGAAACGCGCGTAATCGAGTATCATGAAAATAAAACATTCGCATATTTATTTGACATTTGTCCATTTTACAAAGCAAAACGGAAGTGACGAAAGATTGTAGGAGACATTCATATTCATCGAGACAGAATCGCGAACGGAATGACAGCGCGTGGAATCCGCGCACGTGCGTCAGCCATGCACGTCGCAATGGCTGAATGTAAACAAACGGAGGACGATTTCGCGTAATAGATATTCCTATCTATATTAATCTTATCAGAAACGCGCGGGGACATCATTTACGTCGACAGAAATTGAACGAGATCGCGCGAAACAAAACTAGATATTCCTAGCTGACAACTGACGCGCTGCAAACTTCAAGGCGTTCGAGAGAATCGCAATTCGAGAGAGATCGATTTAAGCGAGCGCGTGAATTTGTACCTGCAGCTTTTGCTTATCCTCGACCAGGTGCACGTCCTGGTGATCGCTATCCTCGTGACCTGGCGGCACCGCATTCGGGTGTCCGCCCGCGGGTGAACGCGAATCCTTGCCATCACCAGAGGCTCGAGGCGGAACCGGTAGGAGCAACTCCGGTCCCGCCTTCTGCATACGTTGATACACGCGGTAAACACTGTTCACGGCCGCGCCGCCGGTACGGAAATCCGGCAGGAAAAAGAACGCGCCGAAGCACACGACGCCAAACGTCAGGAATACCAGGAGGATCAGGTACTTCTCGCGCGGACGGAAGGACCGTCGCGTGAACAACGACACCGGCACGCCGTTCGCGAAGCGCTGATACGACGGCAGCACACCGGCCGACGTGGTCATCTTACCGCGAACACTCGACACCCGTACAACGCGCCGCGGCACTTAATCACCACCCCGGTGTTGCGAATCCGCGAAAACTCAAACACCCGTGCGCGTTTTGCCCGTGCTGTCTCAGCCGTCATACGCCATTACGAATGCGAGCACCACCTGCGTGCGGCGGTTGACATCGCTACGACTGCGATCGCAGCGCCGATCAGCTGACGTGGCGCGCGCGAGAGACAGCGCCACGTGATCGTCTGCGTCACTTACGCCGTGACGGTAACGCGAATCTGATTACGCGCGCAATTCGACTTGCCGTCGGTCAGTGAGAACGCGTGTCTGTCATTCGTTCCTCGTACCGTACAATGACGAGGGATGATAAGTTTATTTTTTCATATTATTATTACGCGGACTATTTTTTTAATTTTATTGTAATACAGCGTGAAATTTTATTTCCAATATTTATCTAGCAAATGGTGAAAGTATGCAGCAAGAATAATAAAGTCTCTGTCAAAATGGAATCAATGCAAAATATTTCATTAATTAGAATGTAATAAATAATAAATTTATCTATTAGCAATATTGTCATCTTGCTCCTTTGTTAATATCGATGAGGAATTCCCAGTTTCATAAAATAAAGAACTCTCACAAAAATTTAATTTCCCATCATGCACGTTAATTATAAAACAGCGGCAAAAGTCCGATTCTCAGTTTCTCTGTTCAAGCGATATTTTCTGCGATTATTCTGATTTTTTCAACATTTATTTAATCGCGAATTTTCATTAATATGATTCATTGTTTTTATTACTTAATGGAATTGTTACACTTAATGGAATTGTTACACCGACGCGATATCGAGATATATAATATGTCGCGAATTTGGCAAAAATTCGATATAAAAGATTTAACAGATTTAAAAGATTTTATAATTTAATCTACTGTCGAAAGTGTACAATTTGATGATATTTGTATATCAATCAACATATCTTTGAAATGTAAACTGAAACATGTCGATACTATCGCTATTATAAGTCATACAGTTTTAACATCATCTCTTTTTATTATATATATATCAAAGTACAGTATCATTATCGATCTATGCATAAACTATATTTACAAAGATCAGTTTACATCATAATTATAACATAAGAGTCCTGCATATTTAAAAAAAAATGGAAAATATATATATAAATTCAATGTATATATAAATTCAATGTATATAATATATAAATGTATATGTATATAATATATAAATGTATATAATAAATCAATGTATAATATATAAAAATTTAATGTAAAATATAACAAATAAAATTTGTATTATACTTTACGTTCCTACTGAAGTCAAATGAGTAAAACTGAAGGACAAAGAATATGAATTGCAAGCATTGTAGTGACTACTACTCCAAAATTCTCTAAATTTGATGGAACGTACATTCAAGTACGTTTGAGTTTTTTGTATTAATAATATAATAAATACGTATTGTCTATTATAGTTAACGAATTTGTTTCGAATCAATTACCGGAATCTTATCTTTAAGAAACATTCGAGCATATTAGAATATTGATATCATCTTGCGGAGCCGATCCTGTTAAACATGTCAATTGCATCTACTATTTCTCCTGCTGTTACATTACACATTTTCTATAGCGCGACGATTAATATATTTCTACTTGATTTTGCTGTTAATCGCATCTATATTCTAAGCAAGATTAATTTGAACTCACTAAATTGAATCTAGGTAAAAAAACTAACAGAATATTTATATTACTACACATTATTATATATATCCGAATTGCCAAATATATTATTTCGGATATTTGTAAGAATTTGGTAATTACTGTAAATGTTTTGTTGAGTACAAAGATGGAACGGATTATCGGGATTTAATAGCAGAAGTGCTATTGCTAGATGGCTTTTCATATTAGGGGCAATCAAATAAATCATTCGAATCAATCAAATCATTTTTTGGGAACCAAAGAATTTTCTTACCATTAAACCATTATTATTCGGGAATGAGATAATAGTATTCTCTGTATTAACCGAAGTACTGTTACACACAGAAAAGTAATAGCGACCTTTCCTATACTTTTTCACGATTTGCTCTCCAAGATTCAATTTTCTTGATACTAATATCATTAAAATCTATACCTGAAAATTTATCAATTATAAATTGAATTGCCATAACTAAAAATCACTGATTATAATGCAAACATAAAATTATGTAACATTTATAAAAACTATTTACCTTCAATTTGGGTGAAGAAGAGAGAATGTTTCTTGTAATAGGTATTTTTATAAGATTATGTATGGTAATGACATCTCATCAAGAATCTGCATTATGGACGACATCATTAAGTCGAAGAAATGTACGAAGATGATCACAAAAATAGTCATGATATACTCCAACGACAATTATTCACTGTCTTAGATTCTGCTAACAGAAATTATTTATGAGAGTACATATTTGAATTTTTGTACCGCAAAAACTCTGAAAAAAAGAAATTGTATTGTTATTATATATTAATTCAATACATTCCATCGTTTATTCTTTTATGTTATGATAATTCTAAAATTATGTTTATATTTTGTTCGACTAATCTTTATTTTCTCAAGAAAAAAATTTTAGAATTATCAAATATAAATTCGGAAAAGATTCTTAGAGAAAATTGGTGAAAACTGGAATATTTATAAGAAATTTATAAGAGAAATATATATATATATATATATATGTATATATATATATATATCACAATCAGATAAATCTATGTACGCGAATGCATAATACCGATACTACTGGTGAAATGACATGAGTAAAAAGCAAAAAGATTACTCGAAAGTGCAATCAAAGTGTAAAATTTAGCATATCATCTCGAAACTAAAAACATTTCCGATTCATTCTTATATATATTTTTCAAAATTATTGTATATAAGGAAATGCATAGAAAAAGAATGAATATAATATTTATGTTTATATTTTATATAAAAATTATACCTATAATAAACTTGCATAAGGAGAGAGAAAATGTGAGAGAAAAAATGATAAATTATTCATGTTAATTAAAAAAAGTATATAATAAAGATAATAAAAAAACTTTTAATTTTACTTAGTGTTGCATTTAACTATAATAAATATAATATTTAACTTAACGTCAATTCAATGTAACATGTGATCGAGTTTAATGTTTAACACGCTGCTAGATAAGTATGCGGAATGCAAATCTTTGTTTCTCGCTAAGAGAGGATATAGTAAGATAATTTAATGTCTCTGTGATGCGCGTAATCTTCCTTATGCTGTCATTATCAGTCTCAAATAGTGCATTTGGAGAGAAAAATATTTGTAAAAACGAAAAAAATAACCTGAATCATATTTTATCCTGAAACAAGCGTTATCAAAAGATATTTATGAGAGATTATCTAATTGACAAACAATATTACGTCAATTTAAAGATCATCATACGATCCATAAATGTTTCATAGATCATAATAGCACTCGTTTACTGTTGATTACTTCCCATTTTTATGCAAATCTGCGATGTTACGAAATTATTCCCATGTATACCGAGAAATTGTACATAATAAGAAAATTGTGTATAAAAATCGTGTATAATAAAAAGTATGCCTGATATAATCGATACTATACCGACAATCCTAAAGAAGATTTTTACAGTCGTTCAGTAAAAATAGAAGCGATCGCGATGATCATCATTGTTCTATGCATCTTCACCTTGTTACATATCCATAATGCAATCACGTTACCTCATATCGAAGACGTTATCGTAAGATTTATCGTCAACGCAACACCCATTCTATTTCCACCTACGAGGGTATCTTTACAACTGTGCACCAATTACGGCAAGATTTTTGTATTTTCATGCTTTATTAATGGCTGATCGCGAAAAAAAATAGCTCGAATTTTTTGGCAATGATTGATTAAAATCAATCGTGATCGTGATTACGAAAAATAGAAATAAGTTGATAAAAAAATTTTTTAAACTCTGATATTTATAACTCATAAATATAGAAAAAGAGAATAGCCAATCAAAGAATATGTAAATCAGTAATCATTATGTCAATAAATATTCATTTTTCGGATAAATATTGTATATGTCTCTATCTTCAAATCTCACGATTATAATTTTTCAAAACTTTTATATTTCAAATTATATATCTTTCTCTTTTTCTTTTTCTCTTAAATTTTCAATAATATATTCACCATACAAGCAAAATTTTTAATTATATTATGTGTAATGTAGTGACAGTTGCATGGCATTTATTATAAAAAATAAAGTATAAATATTAAAATAATATTTATTTATAAAAATATTTAAAAGAGATTCTTAATTCCGTATCTTTTTTGCAGATAACATAATTGAATTGTCGAGAATATTATCGAATAATCAATTGATGCATAACATTTATAATTTTTACGAAGAATTTGACTCGAGAATTTATAATAATTTAGAACATCGTAACTTATATGTGTTGAACTTAGATTGTGATTATGCTCTTGATGTTTTACGACAGGTAAAATTTGCAAAAAAAAATTCTGACTAAATTCATTAAAAGAAAGATAGACGTATTTAAGTCATATATTTACAAATTTGTTATTCATCATTTATGAACATTAAAATTCTCCTTTAAAGTTAAATTCACATGAACTCTATTTATTTTACTTTTTCATCTATTCTATATCGATATACTTAATTTTCGCTTACGAAATCAAATAGAATTTTTAATATATTTTAAATATATTTTTAATATATATTCTAATTCTAAATTTTTAAATTCTATTTTATTGCTGTATACGATTAATAAAAATAATGATTCAATTAATTTTTTATTTTAATAAGATCAAATTATACGTTAACTAAAGTCACTGATTTCCTGATTAATTGTAATCATTTTTCTGATTAATTATAGTCAGTTTTATCTCATTTTTATTATACATATTAAATTCCTTCATTTAATCATAGTTGATACTTGATATTCAGGCAAATTCGAAAAACATGTTTGTGGCCCCCACGAAATGGTTGCTCTTCCAGGATCTAAATATATCAATTGATAATAATAACAAACTAGCTTTCATATACAATGACTCAATATTGGAAATCTTCGAAGAATTAGCCGTCTATCCTGATAGCGACGTGGTCCTCGCTCAAAGATTTGATGATAATTTTCTTCAACTTATGTCCGTATATCGACCAAGCCCACAACGAGGGGTAATATGGGAAAATCGCGGGAATTGGACAATCGCGAATGGTCTACAAATGAAAACTTTTGATGTGGCTTCGGCACGCAGAAGAAATCTTCAACAGACGGCTCTTAAATCTGCTCTCGTGGTATTTTATAAGTGCTATCGTATTTGCTACTATGCAAGGAATTTATGCATCAATGGAATACTTAAAAAAATGTCAAAGACATTTTATTAATATTTTTGTGAAATATATTTTAATAGTAAAAATATATTTTTTCAAGATTTATTGCAATTACAGATGACTGATCCCAACACGATCAATCATTTAACTGATTTCGAAGATAAATCCATAGATCCTGTCACGAAAGTTGGATATCCATGGATGCTTCATTTAGTGAATCGGATGAATGCAACGTGAGCTCAATTTTAATCGCAATAATATTTTAATGTCTTTGCGTTACGTTAAAATGTTAAGTAAAGCCAAACATGATAGTCTCGCAAACTCTTAAGTCGTTGCAAAACTCAGAGCAACATAATAAAGTCGTAATTCAATTTCAAGGTTAATTAACGAGGCCACAGTGAAGTGATTAAGCGATTATGTACATCAAAATGATCGTAAATTATTTCCAAGCATACAACAATAAATGATATAATAAAGAACAAGTATAATAAAGCCGTTCGCATAATTAAATAAGATTTGCATGATGTTTTTCTTAATTATCATCTGCACAACCGATAAAAATTGCATGTCATTTTATCTAATCGATTGTTTAAGAATCATTTGATTAGACGTCATTTAATATTCATTACCAAACTCATAAATATCATGACATAATTTCTCAGTTGTTTTTGCTTATCGATACATCCATATAAACATAAATTAAAAGTATTTAATGAAAAAATAAAATTTTATCTTGTAATTTCTTTCTGAATTTATCACAGATTAAATATCTTTAAACAAATTTCAAAATAATTTTTAATAAATATTAATAATTTCAAATTTTTTAAATTGAAAAACGTTTTTTAATCATCATCTTTATGAAAAAAAAATGATGTGATGAGGCAGAAATTTGAAATATATTGTACATTATACGTAAGATGTTTTAAGCCGACTCGAAATTCTATGGTTTTGTTTTACGCGTTACAGGATAAGTTTCGAAATTACTGATAGTTGGGGATATCGTGCGGAGAATGGCTCTTGGAGCGGAATGATCGGGATGCTGGAGCGACGCGAGATTGATATTGGCGGTACCGCTACATTTCTTGTACCAGAACGTCTCGGTGTTGTGCAATATATCCAATTGTACACAAAGACTGGGTAAGAAAGACAAAAACTATTTATTAAACTTAAATATATCTCATCAATTTTCTATCTTTTTATAAGAACAAAACTAGAAAGAAAGATGATAAATCATATAATCTTTGTACTTCAATAATTCGATATTTATGCAAAGTAAAAAGAATTAGTTATAATTTATAGTATTAATTATTTATGTTATATAATTTCTAGTATTAATTATTTATGTTTTATATCAATATTTATATAGCTCACGTTTTATATTTCGACGACCATTATTGTCGACCGTAAGCAATATATTCATTCTACCCTTTCAACGTAACGTTTGGATAGCGATTGGCATATTCCTCGTTCTCGTTTTTTGTTTGCTTTCTTTATCTATCAAATGGGAGAATCATCAGAATAAAGAAATGACAAAATCAATAGTTTACTGGAAGGAATCAGATTCCACCAAGCCAACAACCAGTGATAATCTACTTATTCTTTTAAGTGCATTTGTTCAACAAGGTAAAAAAATTATTTTCGGCAATTCAATCATTGAATTTTATCTCTGAATATTATTTGAAAATAATAAAAAGTTAAGATTTATATACTAAATAAATTAAATCTCATCTTACTCGAACAATTTCATCAAAACAATTATTACTTCGCAAAAAATTTAATTCGTACGAATTAAATATTTTACTTTTATATTAATATAAAAATTATAGGAACTATTTTTAATTTTTTTTTATAGGATCTACATATGAACCGTTTCGAATTTCATCTCGAATTATTATTTTAATGTTACTGTTGGCTTCATTAAGTCTCTACGCGGCTTACACAGCAAATATCGTAGGCCTACTACAATCCACTACGGATTCTATCAAGACTCTTCCGAATCTTCTCAATAGCCCGCTAAAATTAGGTGCGCAGGATGTTGTGTACAATCGATATTACTTCAAGGTTCGTAGACCGAAACCACGATAATTAATAATGCAAATAGCATTATTATTAAATGATCTAAGGCTTATTACGTTATCGAAATTAGCAACAAGAAATAATTATGAAAAATAAATGAGTATTTAATGGCAGTCATTTCAAGATCCAGTTAGAAAAGCGATTGTGGAACAGCGAATCGAACCAAAGGGACGCAAATCTAACTGGATGCCCATAGAAGAAGGTGTACGTCGAATAAAAAACGAACTTTTCGCATTCCACGGTGAGATTGGTTCGATCTACGAATTAATGGAAGATACATATCAAGAGGAGGAAAAGTGCGGCCTGACGGAAATCGATTTCTTAAAAGTCTTATATCCGCTTCTCGTTATACAAATACAATCGCCATACTTGGAAATAATAAAAAATGGGTAAAATATTATTTATGGCAAATAAAAATTCATTAAAATTTAAATTTGCCATAAATAATTTTTAAAAACTTAAACTCTAATGTAATATTGATCTGATTTGACTCAATATTTAGAAAAGTGTTTTCAGAGCTTTAAAATTGGGAGAATACGGACTTAAATATCGCGAAGAATATCGTTTATATACGAGAAAACCGGTGTGCTCGAGTCAGACTATAAGCTTCATCACCATCAGTATCACGGAATGTTACTTCACTTTAGCCATAATGGGCTATGGAATTCTTCTCACCATAATTGTATTTGTGCTTGAGTTATTATGGCATAAAAAGTAAATATAATAGAAATTTCATTATTGTATGTTTTCGAATATATTATTATTGCATTTTCTTTGTAGGCAAAATGCATGTGTGACAGAAAAAGCATCAGACGCAAAAATCATTGATTGTTCTGATTAAATTCCAGCAATGTATATTCGTAAAAAAAATATATATAAACGAGGATTTACTAAATTGTTGCTGTTATACACTAAATTGCAATGTGCTTTTATAAGAAATTTTATTAGAAATTTTATTTCTTCTCTTTATGCTTTCATAGCACGCTTTATAGCAACAGCAGATCGCGAATCAATCCTTTTAATATGTACTAAAATGCAGTAAAATAAACATGTTACTCCAGAAAGTATATATTCAATTTTTTTTGAAAGATTATTTTAACACTTTTTATGTAACACCGTAAAAATATTTGTAAAATAAATTATTCGTAAAATACATATGTAATAAATAGACCCTTTCGTTAATGATATTGTGTGCATTGAATCTTGGAAAAAATGCATATAAAAAATCGCGGATAGAATAACTCATAGTTAAAATCAGCCGCGATTTTAAGATTGCGACATAAACGCACAAATACAAAATCTATTTTAAATATATACAAAATACTCTATTTTATAAAAATTTATGCAATCGATTTTAGATGGATTATTACTTTCTTATAGTTATGATTTTTCCTAAGATTTTTTTTTTCTCTCTTTCTCTCTCTCTCTCTCTCTCTCTCTCTAATAATCTCTTTGATTATATTTCATTACCTGATAAATTAGTTATTTTAATATGACACATGAAAAGAACAAACCTTTTAAAATTGTAGGCTACCACACGTATATTCCTGGACAAATATATCTCTTAAACTCGTGCCGGTAAGAAATGTTCGTAATAGTTCTTCGTAAAGTCTATCATGAGATCCAACGTACACTCGGGTAACTCTTCGATACATGTTGCTGGGCTACCAGCATAACGAGTGAAAGATGGCACGATAGTCTCAGGTGGCACAACCGCACCGTCTTCGATGTAGCAACAATCTTTTAAGACTGATCGTCTGCCCTATAGCAAGGCAAACATAGTAGATTAAAACAAATATGTTTGTATTCACTGCACTTGTACGTAAATGATTATTATACATACGATTATGGCATTTTTCCCTATATAAACGTAAGAACCAACCAGTGCTGCATTTACAATGGCCCGCTCTCCCACAAACACATGGTTTCCCATTGTTAAGGGAAAAAAGGCAACCCTAATTAATAGATTTATCGTTTTATAACAAAACAATATTTTGATAATTCTTGTAATTTGACGCAATTACAGAATTTGTGCTTGCTTGATATAACGCAAGTTGCTAGCAAGCACAAATTCTGTAATCGCATGTATGTTTACTGGCATTACAATATGCTTCAAGATTTTCAATAAGCGAATTGAAGCTGTCAGTGCAACGCATTTATAATTAATATAATCGAAAATTTGACTCACCCTCTACTAAATTTCTTAAAAGGCGGTCGAATGACCGCATTCTTGCTGATTATGCAATAGCGACCAGTCCTGACATTGGCCAGATCACCCCTAATGATAGCATCGGATTGCACTATCACTTTTCCATGCAATACAATATTCTGTGAACCGCACAGTACTGTCAGCCTGCTCACTTTATTTCCTGAAGCCTGAAATGTCACAAGAATGAGGTTATATATAATTCTTTTTTTTTTTTTTATATTTAATGTGCCTTCAATTAGTTTAGTCTCATTATGATTATTTAGGCACATGTTATGGTTTAGGTTATGTATAATGTTTTCGCATTTGCAAATGCAACAGATATCGCATAACATAACTAAATTGGTTAGGTCATTTTTAACAATAACTATAATTTTTTGCGTTCTTCAATGTTAGGTATACCCGGTTATACACTTCATTCAATATACACTTTAATTATTGAGGCTATTTATTACCGTTTCAACGTATTCGGCTTTGTTATAATAAATATCCTGCGGCTCCATTTCGTATTCTTGTATGACAATCGTATGTTGTTTAATGTTTAACCTACAAGCAAACAATGCCTCAATCAATCGATTGTTCCACAAGTTACAAACAGTAATTAATAAGAGGCGGGAATCTTTCACTTCATTCTGTCACTCGAGTTAAAACGTCACTCGAGTTGAAACTCGAAACTCGACTGCCATCAGCTGACGAATCGAATCGCCATCTGCTAGAAAAATTGTGCACCGTTTCATTGACGTAAGAAAGTGCGTGTCAATTTAATCCTCAGCTGAAGTGCTTTTAAATCTCATAAAAAACTGCTTTAATAATGATATACAATTAAAATCGTAAAGTAGTATAATTAAAATTATTTTTTTATCTTTTTATTCCTTCTATTCTTCATCTTTTTTTAATGTTGATAAATATTTTTGAAAGGAAAAGTCATATGAGACTTCAAATGAATAACTTATTAAAAATTATATCCACTTAAATACTATTTCTTCTCAATATCATAAATATTATATTGAAATAAACTCCAGTACACGCATATTAATATATTTAAAAATCGATTCTTCTGAAATTCTATTAAAATATTTAAGCCTGATCTCGATCTTGTAGATTTACAAAATATCATGTACAAAACAATATAATTAAATTTTGAGCCTTGCATAATATAATAATACTTAAATGCGTGTGTATGTGTTAGTATCTGTCAATTACATGACTATCAAAAAAGTGAAATTTAAAAGAAAACAAATCTATCTCGAAAATAATTGAATAAATTGAAAATAAATTATTATTTATATATAATTATTATTTATATATATTATTTATATATAATCTCAGATAAAATTTGCTAATTGTAAGATTTATATTATCATATATTTTTAGGGAATATATATATATATATATATATATATATATATATATAAACAAATTTCTTTATATTCCAAAATAATATATTTTATTTAAACAAAATTAATTTTATATGTTTATTTATTAAGGAAATTAAATATAAAACTCAAGTATAAATCATAATTTAATCAAACAGCAATGTGAGCGATTAATGAATAAAAAATTTATAACTATATTGTCATATGCATATAAATAATTGAAAATAAAATACTTTATTATTATTTATCATATGTTTATTACGAGAACGTAGAGAATCCCTCGTTAAATATTCATAGCAATTTGCATAAATCTTAAACAAAGATATTTGTACTATCAAATATCTTTCTGTTATACATTATAATAAAATTTATATGAAATCGAAGTTCTTGAGATAGGACTTGAGAAATAAAGCCAAAAAAAAGAAATAAAAGAAACAACTCTTACGCTGTTAATAAAAAATTCATTCCATTCGTTTCTCCGCTCTCTCTCCACTCATTCATAATTCCGCAATTTTCTACAAAAATAACTATGAATAAGAAGAAAACATAGAAGAAAATGTCCCAAAAATTTGATTGATAATTAATATACATTATTGAGAATTAATATACATTATTTTCCTCTGAAAGCATTTCTTTTAATTCTTTACTTTTTAGTTAGTATCGCATTTAACAATAAATAAAACTGTGTTTTGACGAACTTAATTGTTTGATACGAGAATCGCATTACAAAAGTGAGAGTAATAAACGAACATATTTTCTATATCAAAAACTTCTTAGTTTTCAGTTCTTCAATTACTATTCTAATGTTTAATTTAATGCAAACCCAATTTATCTGACATCAGAATTACGTTCAATACAACAATCAGATAAGTGTACTAAACATAAGCGTAAGAATGTAAATTTTTCTTCCACGATAAAAGAAAATATATAAGATAATTAAGAAAATGTATAAGAAAATATATGTAAGATAATTTCTCGAAAATTATAACCGCAATTTAAGCATGGAAAGAAATATGGGAATAAGTCGCTCAGCTGCGATTCTTCGTAGATTCCTCAAGTCAATTCTTTACACTATCACTATCATCTTGAATATTGCATTAGGAGGAACGAAAAGGTGTATTTATAAGAACGAAGAAAGTTGGTTATAAATCTTAAGAAGTATCTGGACATATAGAATCTGCTGATTAAGTCATATTATATTATACCAAGCGGAATTATGTCAAATTGTTGCACGCTAAACGAGCATCTATCGGACATTTTTAAATATTTACGAAGTCATAATAATACTCGTTATCGTTTATGCTCCCCATTTCTTTGCGGATTCGTTATATCATTACACGCGAATTATATGAAATTATCATGAATATCGAGATATTGTAGTACGAAAAATATGATACGCGAATATATACTCAATATCATGAGTACAATCTCAATCGACAATCTCAACAAATCTTTGCAGTTGCTTAGAGCAGACGAAAGCGATAGGAATGATCTTAGTTGTCCTATTCTCTATCGCGTTTTCACTCGGCCGTGATGTAAACGCATCATCTCGCGTCGACGATATTATTGTAAGATTTATCGTCAACGCAACGCCCGTCCTATTCCCACCTTCGAGACTATCTCTACAATTATGCATCAGATACGGTAAGACTTTCATAATTATATATGTTAATCACTTAGTGCGAAAGAAAACTAAATTTTCAACAATAATCAATTAGAAGCGATTATTGTTATTGTTAAATTAATTTTTTTATCGGTTAAAATTTGCTGCTAATGAAAATATTTTATTCAAAAATGAAGACTTTAAAATTTGAAGAAAAATAATCTTGACCAAAAAATTACGTTGATTATAACATTTCCCAGTTAGAATAATTTCTTTCTTACATATTTTTCCCTGTCATCGAGAGCAAAATATTTTAAATAGTCAAATTACACGATTTATTCTGCATACATAATGTAATGATATATGTTCATTCTAATTATTACTGAAAAAATGTATAAGAATATTTAATGTATTCAAATTAACTCAAATATATTCTCATAGATGATACGATTAAATTATCGAGAATGCTATCAAAGAATCACTTGATGCACAGTATTCATAATTTTTATCAAGAATTCAATCCAAGAATTTACAATAATTTAGAACATCGAAATTTGTACGTGTTGGACTTGGATTGCGATTACGCCAGTGATGTTTTACGACAGGTAAATTTTTTAAATGAAATCGCAAAAATTCCTAAGTATAAATATTTCAACAAAATAAAATAAATTTCAAATAAATTTTATTTATGATATGGAGGAAATATTGATTAAAATCTATCTTTGCATAGTTCGATATAGAAATATAAATATTTATATATATATAATAATTATATATAAATAATAGTAATAAACAAATCTTATTATACATATGTAATATGTATAATAAGTATACATATATAAGTATACATATATAATTACATATAATTAAATATAATTATATGTAAACCTTTTCTCGGGATTATTACGAGAATTGTAATTTTGACAAGTTACAATAAGAATTAAAATAATAATGATCAATAAGAATTATCGAAATGTTCGAAGAATCGATTAACATTATACTAATATATTTCATAAAAGCTGTCTTCAAAATACAAAGACTTTATTTTCCAAACTGTCAACAATCAATATTTCTTGTATCATTAGAACAAAATATATTTATAATTTAATTTATTTTATCTAAATATACAGAACGTTTTCAAATATTTTATTTATGTTTGACAAAAGCACAGTACAAATACGAATATAAATAATAGATGTAAATATCATATGTAAATCTCAAATAAAATAATAAAAAAAGTTAGAGAAATTCTATCATTGTATCATTATAAATTTTATTCGTCACTCATGTAATTTTAAATTTTGCAAACAAAATCGATATAAAGAGTATTTATTCAGTTAATTCAATAAGATGAAGTTACGCATATTACTAAAAAAAAATCACTAAAATTTTGATTGTCTAATAATCATCATTTTTTTATATATCTGTATATTAATCTGTATATTAATCTCCTAGTTAATATAATCAATGTCTCAAATTAAATGACAGGCACATTCGAAGAAAATGTTCGTTGCTCCGACAAAATGGTTGCTTCTTCAAAACAGAAAAACACTAACCAATAACAATGATAATGCCAATTTAACTTCCACATATGATGATTCGATTTTGGAAATTTTCGAAGACTTAGCAGTCTATCCCGATAGCGACGTGCTTCTCGCAACAAGATTTGACGGTGATTTTCTCCGATTAATGTCCGTATATCGGCCAAGCCCGCAGCGAGGAGTAATATGGGAAGATCGTGGAAATTGGACGGCCGAAAATGGTCTACAAATGAAAACTTTTGATGTGGCTTCAGCACGCAGAAGAAATCTTCAACAAACAGTCCTTAAATCTGCTATCGTGGTACTTTGAATCCTATTATATTTATCAATCATACACTTACTCATAAACGAGTACTTGTGTCAAAGATTTTTATTTCCAACACACATACACATACATTATGTAACTTCAATTATAAAATTTAATTTAAAAAATGTCAGAATATGCTTGTATATACCTTGATTTTAAAGATTTCAAATATTTTTGAACATAAAAATATATTTCTCCATGTATAATTGTAGATAACAGATCCCAACTCGATCAATCATTTAACTGATTTCAAAGATAAATCTATAGATGCTGTTGCGAAAGCTGGATATCCATCTGTAATGCATTTAGTGAATCGAATGAATGCAACGTGAGTTCGGCACATTTCTCGACATTATTGTGTTAATAATATTTCGACGTAATGTTTAGTATTATTAATATTCCATAATAAATATTAATAATATATTATATATTATTATTAATATTCCATAATAAATATTAATAATATATTAATAATTTAATAATATATTAATAATAATTTTTGATTGAGAAACAGTTTTTTTAATTGTTTTATTTGCGAAAATGATACGAACGAGATGAATCTTAAATATATATATATTCATATAATGCTTTAAAATTGCTGAGTTAAAATTTTAAACTTTTGTTTTATATGATTACAGGATAAGTTTTGAAATTACAAATAGCTGGGGATATCGTATTGAAAATGGTTCTTGGAGCGGAATGACAGGGATGCTTGAACGACACGAAATTGATATTGGCGGCACCGCTTCATTTCTTGTACCAGAACGTCTCGGTGTTGTACAATATATCCAATTATATACGCACACTAAGTAAGACAGACATTTATTAAATTTGAATATGATTTCATTCATTTTCTATTTTTTTAATGCTAGAATTTTATATATACATATATACAAGAAGTTGCATTTTTTTGCAGCGCACGTTTTGTATTTCGCCGACCATTATTGTCGAGTGTGCGCAATATATTTATCTTGCCCTTCCAACAAAATGTCTGGATAGCCATTGCCGTATTTCTCACTTTAATTTTCTGTTTGCTCTACTTGTCTATTAAATGGGAATATTATCAAAATAGAAATAAAACAAAATCAGCAGATTACTGGAAACAGCTAAATCCCAGGGAGCAAACAGTCAGCGATAACTTATTTATTCTTTTAGGCGCATTTTCTCAACAAGGTACAATGTTAATTAACTTTGATCTCCGAATATTATTCGAAAATAATAAAAATGTTTTTAAATAAACTTCAAATAAAATAGATTAAATTTCATTTTACTTAAATTATTTTGATAAAAAAATTTACTGCTTCGCAGATATACGAATTAAATTTTTTTATTTTGTTCAACATAAAATTTATAAATTTTCTTTTACAGGATACGTATATGAACCGTATAGAGTCTCGTCTCGAATTGTCACTTTAATGTTATTATTGGCTTCACTCAGTCTCTACGCGGCTTATACAGCAAATATTGTAGGTCTGCTGCAATCTACTACAGATTCAATCAAAACTCTTTCGGATCTTTTTTACAGTCCGTTAAAACTGGGTGCGCAAGATATCGTGTACAATCGATATTATTTCAAGGTTCGTAAATCGAAACTGCGATAATTAATAATATAAATTTATTTCAAAATTATTAATAGCAAGAAATAAATATAAAAAATAAATGAATATTTTGTGAAATGGCAGTTATTTCAAGATCCAGTTAGAAAATCGATTGTGGAACAGCGAATCGAATCAAAAGGACGCAAATCTAATTGGATGTCCATGGAAGAAGGTGTAAGTCGAATAAAAAACGAACTCTTTGCGTTCCATGGTGAAATTGGTTCGATGTATCAGTTAATGGAAGCTACATACCAGGAGGAAGAAAAGTGCGGCCTGACTGAAATCGATTTTTTAAAAGTAACAGAACCGCTTCTCGTGATACAAATGCAATCGCCTTATTCAGAAATAATAAAAAATGGGTAAAGTATTTCAAATTATTTTCATAAATATAAATTCTTGCAAGTTCAAAATGTCAGATATAAAAATGTTTTAATATTTAATATTTAACAAAATATTGCATAAATTCAAGAAAAAAATTTATTAACGCTTTTTTTTCTAATTATATATCGTGCGTATAAATCAACAAATTAATGAACACTTTAATGAATAAACGTATAATAATAATAAACGAATGAATAAACTGATAATGTAATTCTTGAAACATTCGATACTCAGAAAAGATATTTTCAGAGCTTTGAAATTGAGGGAATATGGGCTTAAATATCGCACGGAGTATCGCTTGTATACAAGAAAGCCCATATGTTCAAGTAAGACTAATTTCATCACTATCGGTTTCACTGAATGCTCCTTTGCTTTGGTGATAATGGGCTATGGGATGCTTTTCGCAATAATTATATTTGTGCTCGAGTTGTTGTGGTACAAGAAGTAAGGAATAATAAAATCTTTGTTGTTACTTTTATTATGTACCTCATATGATACTTATACATTTTCTTTGACAGACAAAATGCACTTGCAACGTCACACATCAAAGAAGACACATCAAATGTAGGAACTATCGCTTATATTGATTAAATATTTGCAAAAATTCATGTATACTCATCCAAAAAAAAACTAGAAGTATCCAAATTATTTGCTATTATATCACTATTAAATATCAAAATGGTAATTCTATGAGAAATTTTATTCGTTGAATGCTTTCTCATTGTTTTTATAACAATGGCAAATCATAAATTATGATTAAATTATGGTTACATTGATTTCGTGAAAAGGCACTGACAAGAAAATGAGAGAAAACTGATTTCACGCGATTATTGACTCATCACGTGAGTTATTACTAAAAATAACAATACATAATTCTTTTCTTTTTATAAGCTGAAACACCTTTTTTAATTTTATAACCTAATTTTTTTTCTATAATACTGGATATTTTTTTTATAATATTTTCTAGAATATAAACTATTTCAGTTTGAAGACATTTTGCATTAATTACAATGATAATCTTATTAAAAATTCTCGTTATCTTACAAAAATTAACGCGGAAATTATCAGCAATACGAAAAAAATTTATTTATTCTTATTTCATTTTATCCTTTTTTCTCTTATCATATGTATAGTGCGTGTATATGAATAAATCAAGAATGATATAATATTGATTATTTTATAGATTTACCACCAAGACACATAATCTGCTTAAGATAATCATGTATTTATGCAAAAATATCTTGCCACAATCTAAAAAAAATATATTAATATAAATGTCATAAACAAAATAAATATATCGATATTTAGATTGTACAAATCACTCTTGCAATAATAATAATAAATTAATAATAAATTACTTATACATATCCTAAGAAAAATATCCAATAGTTCTCGGAAAAAACCATTCCAGCATTTTATCCGATTGGTTTTGAACGGATCTTGGGCTATCCGATAAAATGTAATTTCCGATTAAATATAAACGGATAATGAACGGATGATTTATTTATCTGTTCAAATTAATATACAATATTATTGGATATTGTATTTGATCGGATAAAAACAGAATATTCTATTTTCGATCAAACTGAATATCCGATTTAATGTACTATTTTCGAAAAAATATGTCCGATGAAATAGATTGGATTATCCATTAAAAACGTCCGATAATTGCGCATGACCAGGCGAATCAGGTGTGCACGAGTTTGTATTTTAGTATCAGTATTACTTGTGATCAGTGTAAATCCTGTTTTATTCGCGATTTTTGCTTTTTTTCCATAATTATTGAGATTTTAATTAAAGAAAATCTCCGAACAAGACACACTTATTCGCCGATTTTCTATAATTAATATCTCAATAACTTGTAAAAATGATTATATGGATTTTTCTATTCAGCTCTATCAATTCATAAGCATTATAGTGCCAATTATCAATATAATTTGAACAGATTTTTTGAAAATATTCATTGATATTTATTATTATATATAATTTGGGAAAATTCCCCGATCAAGAGTTAGATCTATTGGTCGGATATAATGTAATCGAATCTGTTCAAAAAGTAAAAAAGAAATAGATTATTTTAGATCAGATATTTTCTGATTGAAATTTTCTGATCGGATATCTTTGATCGGTCATTTCGGCCTTCATCGATTTTTTTCCGATTAAAGAGGTAATATCTGTTCGTTACCTTTTGAGAGGATTTTCCGTTCAATTTTAACCAAATATTTTCTCAATGTAATAATAAAATAATTGTTTACACATTACACGTAAGAAAAATTTTGTAAGATTAAACAATATTTGCAAATAAAATACACACTACAAGGATACATATAAGCCGCACAATTCATGTCACAATAAATAACAGAAATCTCAGCTGATTTTTCACATTAAAACATAGACTCCCTTCTTTACCTTTCCTACGTCATGAAATTCCTTGCACTATTATTATTCAGATAGTCTTTGATTGCAGTATTAGGAAAAATTTGTGAGAACTATGAAAGCTGCAAAATCTTTAAAATTATACGTTTTATGATAATGAATAATCTATGAATAATCTATTTGTAGACTTTGTCATGTCAGCGTACCATGGTGTTTGAATATTTCACATGAAGTAACAATACTCGCATTGCATGCATGCTTATTTTCACATCAACTGAATTACATTTTTTCGTAGATTTATAAACGGTTTCATTACAGGCAAAATTATATGAAACTGGTATACATGCGGAAAAATTATGATGTAGGGATGATCAATATTATCGATCGAACATTATCCCGAAGAAATCTTTGCGCAGTTGTTGAATAAATACAAGAGCGATCAGAATGTTTTCTATGATATTGTGTATCCTTATATTGTCTTTCGATAATGGCATGATCGCATTTTCTCATCAGATCGACGATATTATTCTAAAATTTATCATCGATACAAAGCCAATTTTATTCCCTCCGTCGAGGGTATCTTTACACTTGTGCATCAGCTATGGTAAGATTTTCGAATTCATTATTAACATACGAATGAGATTTTTTAAAAGTAGCAGGTATATGTACATACATACATACATACATATATATATATATATATATATATATATATATGTATATATATATATATATATATATATATATATATATGTGTTCAAACAGCTTTCACTTTAAAAATTGAGAGTGGATTAGATTTGCAAGATGGTAAAGAAATGATAGCGCCGCTTTCTTAATGAAATAATTATTAAATTAATATTGCAAAATAATTATTAAAAAGATTGCAAAATGTAAAGCATTTTTCTGCTCAGTTTATTGTGCTCTCTCTATCTGCTCACGAAAATTGGTTCAATATCCTTTATCAAACATCCTGTATATTAAAATAAAATATTATTATATATTATTATAAAATATTATTATTATATGATTAGAAGATCACGATACATTCCTTTCTACTTTAAACAAAAAAAATATACAAAAATTTTAATAGTTGACAGTTTTCCTTCTTTTCAGATGACACAATTAAATTATCCAGGAAACTGTCGAGTCTGCATCTAATGCATGGCATTCATAATATTATCCCAGATTTCGACCGAAGAATTTACGATGACCTGGAACATCAAAATCTGTACGTGTTGGACCTGGATTGCAATTACGCCATTGAAATTTTACAGCAGGTATCAAATGCTTTTAAAACTTCTATCATATTTCTACTATACTTTCCACGCTTTTTCGTAAATACAACGTGGATACAAACATATAGTGTTATTGACTCTCGAGTTAAAAAAAAAACCGTAGCTCTCACTGATAATAAATATTAATAATCTCGATCGAGACTCTAATAACGTTTATTCATCAATGCTCAATTACATAATCAATTACGACTAAAAATAAAATCATTAACATTAACAGTCGCAAAAAATTATCTCATTTTATTTCTAAATAAATAAATTAATTATGATCTGATATTATACAATAGGTGAATTTGAATAGAATGTTCGTCGCCCCAATGAAATGGCTACTCCTTCAAGATCGAAAAACGCGAATCGACAATGATGATAATGCCAACTTAACATTTACATATGATAATTCGATTTTGGAAGTTTTCGAAGATTTAGCCGTTTATCCTGATAGTGATGTGATTCTCGCAACAAGATTAGACGGTGATTTTTTCCAACTCACATCTGTATATCGGCCAAGCCCACAACGAGGAGTGATATCGGAAGATCGTGGAAATTGGACGAACGAAAATGGTCTACAAATAAAAACTTTCGATGTGGCTTCAGCACGTAGAAGAAATCTTCAACAAACGGCTCTTAAATCTGTTCTCGTGGTACTTTGAATATGTATTCATTTTCGAAAAGAGGCATATATTGTATATATAAACATAATCGAAGATCAAGCAACAAAATAAAATATGTGTGTGTGTGTGTGTAATACATATCTTTTACTACTATATATTTTATAAGAAAAAAAAAAAATATATATATATATATATACATACAAAAAGTAAAAAAAAAATAATAGTAGTCAGATAACTTGAGATGTATATAACTGTATTTTATATATTTTTAATTTTTTATATATAAAAAAATATCTTTTCTTTTCAATTTCAGATAATGCATCCCGATAGTGTAAATCATTTGGATGATTATAAGTATAAAACTATAGATCCACTTCCGAAAATTGGTTATATCTGGGTAAACCATATAATAAATCGAATGAATGCAACGTAAGTCATGCATAATGTCTTTTTGACATTAAAAAATGCAGACAACTGCCTATAAACGTTGACTGAAATTTTTTCTCTAGATTGCATTTCATTTTTGCCTTATTCACCAATGCTCAATAAATTTGAAATGCAATAGTTTCTTCCGCATTCCTTGCCAATAATATATATAGAATATTTATGAAGATTTTCAGCTTATAAAGGAATTTAGGTTCGAATGATGGTAACAATTTAATTAATTACGAATTAGTCGTAAATGCAAATAATATTCAAAATGATGTAATAAAGTCATAATTTGATCTCAAATATGACGAAATTACTAATTAATGCAATTATAACAGTAACTGACCTACAATATGTTTTAGACGTCAACAATCTATAAATCTTTTTTTAATTATGTTATATGCATGATTATGTGTATGAATGATGATCATATAATTAAATGAATCATTTATCAGCAGAAATTATGTATAACTTAATTTTAATTAATTGCTTATAGTTCAATATTATCAATCTCAAATATACCAGAAAAAGAAACCAATCTTGTCAAGAACACATATTTTAATCTGCAACTAATAAACAAGAGATTAATATTCTAATTTATATAAAACGAGAAATTAATAAATTTTGTTATTTTATCATTCATATATGATAGCCTCGTAAAATAACTGACAAGAGTCAATTATCGCCATTAAATTTTTTTCTTATATAGAGTAAATTTTACATTTGTGAACACCTGGGGAGAAACTAAACTTCCAAATGGATCTTGGATCGGAATGGTCGGAATGTTAATTCGACATGAGATTGATATTGGTGGTACTGTTATGTTTATCTTGAAGGATCTTTTGAATGAAGTCGATTATTTGCCACTACTAGCGCATGTTAAGTAAGTCACATTCAATCTGCGATCAGTCAATTTTTTCTTCACTTTTTTACAATATTACAATATTATATTATATGCATAGTGAATCTATCCTATAGATATAAAACGATTAAAGCGGTATGCTAATCAAAGTGTAATGTTATACAATAGTATCGTGTCTATAAAAGATAATATTAGAAAAGAGAAATTGAAGAATAATTGTATTTTAAAAAAATATAAAACAAATGGCAGATGATGAAGGTTTCTTTTCTTGTTCAAGGATATTATATTTAAAAAAAAATAACATAATATGTTTAAAAAATTGTTCTTTTTAAAAAAAGAAAAAAACGCCAAGTATATGCTTTACTTGTGAAAAACTATTATATTTATTACTGTAAAAAATGCTTTACAAAATAGCATTATTTTCACTTCTACAAAATAGTATCATTATACTTGATAATATTTTGTATATTTTTTTGTTCTAAAAATGGCCTATTTTGTTTATTTCTTTTAAGTTGAATAAATAGAAATAGAACTAGAAATAAAAAAACTAATTCAAGTTTGTCAAAAAACTTTTGAAAATTTTTCTCAAGTTTAATATTACTGATGATAGTCACATTTGATTAGCACATACACACACACATACCATTCTAAAATTTAATAATGTACTTCGAATATTCATCATCAATAATAATATTAATAATTAATAAAAACATTTTATTCTTTCTATTACATTATTTATTATTATTCGGATCACAATATCGCTAATATTGATATATAACTCAATCTAATTATATAAAATTTTATACAGGACGGCATTCGTATTTCGACAACCATTATTATCGTCCGTAAAAAATATCTTCATCTTACCCTTTGAAAAAAAAGTTTGGATAGCAATCGCCATATTCCTCCTTGTCGTCTTTCTCTTATTATATTTATCTATGAAATGGGAATATAATCGAAATATGATGAACAAATTGTTACCCTCGTTTAAACAAACAAATATCGGCGATCCAACGCTCGGCGATGATGCTTTAATTCTTTTAGGCGCTTTTGCTCAACAAGGTATTTAATCTAACGAATCCTAATTCTCAATTTGTAAGTTAAAATATTCATAATATTTAAAGTAAACCTATATAAATTGTCTTTGCAGGTTATGCATACGAGCCATTCAAAATTTCAACTCGAATCATCACTCTCATGTTACTACTAGCCTCGCTACTTCTTTACGCGGCTTATACAGCGAATATTGTAGCTCTATTGCAGTCTCCTGCGGATTCTATTCAAACTCTCTCCGATCTCTTGCATAGTCCGTTAACTCTCGCTGCGGAAGACGTCATATACGCTCATAATATGTTCAAGGTTCAGAAATTACAAAAAGTTAATTTTCCAAAACAAAAAGTTAAATGTTAAAAAATGTAAGGGAAATAATTTCTATGTATAGACTTATAAAGATCCCATTAGAAAAGCGATCGTGGAAGAGAAAATCGAGCCGAAAGGATATAAATCTAATTGGATGCACGCAGGAGAAGCTGTAAGACGAATAAAAAATGAACCTTTCGCATTTCACGGTTTCACAAGTAGGATGTATAGAACCATGCAAAACATATATCAAGAAGATGAAAAATGCGGTTTAACTGAGATCGATTTTCTCAACACAATAATGCCACATCTTACATTACCAAAACAGTCTCCCTATTTGGAGATAATAAGAAATGGGTAGGAAACTATGTATATATATATATATATATATATATATATATATATATGTATATATGTTTTGTATCATGTTCTTATATCGCGTTCCTAAAATAATAATAATTAAAAATTTACATTTGCATATATAAATTAAAATCTACCATATAATGTCAAAAGTATGTATAAATATATGCATATATAATATGTGTTTTAATTTTGAAATATTGATATATGAATGTTTTGAAAATTATTTTTTTTCGAATAATCGCCTTGAAAATCGCCTTGTAAGTCGCCTTAATCGCCATAAAATTAATAATGCCATAAAATTAATAATGCCTGTTTTTCGGATAGAATCACACGCATGTACAAACATGAATAATTTCAAAACTATATATAATTAAAAATATGACGTAAAAGAGATTAATAGTTTAAATGCTATATTTTTCAACATTACATTATGATAAACTTTTGACATTATTTATAAAAATGTCAAATGAAAAAAGAAAATTTGTCTTCCCTGTACATGTATGTGTATTATCTTCTCTGAAAAATAAATATCAGAAAATAAATATCTTAAAAAAAATTTTGTCAGAAAAAAGTTTGGTAATTATGCAAATATACAGAGTCATATATGTTACATCCATAAGTCCAAGATATCAGAATAATTTGTGACATGCATTGTAATAAAATAAAAATAAAATTTAAAATATTAAAAAAATTTTTCAGAGCTTTGAAATTACTAGAATACGGACTCAAACAACGGGATGAACATCTTTTCTTCACAAAAAAACCAGAGTGCTCGAATCAGGCCAGTTACATCAGTATTGGTTTTACAGAATGCCACTTTGCGATAGTTGCAATGGGTTCTGGAGTGCTCCTTAGCTTGATTGTGTTTGTACTAGAATGGCTGTGGTATAAAATGTAAGCTTAAAGGCAGATCTCATTTACGCATACTCATATTATTTGTTATCTTACATTTGATTTTACAGACGAGATAAGAATACAATCCAAGAAACGATTCCAACTGTAATAGAAAAAAAAGATCTCGAAATCGAATATATTGATTAGATTGTTACAAAAATCGTTCCAAATAGTATTCGGAAGTATAAGACCACAAACTTTAATATATTATATTTAGGTCGGACACATACACACACACACACACACACATATATAACATTTTGTACATCTATCATATACATGTTTTAACACACACACATATCAAAACATATATGATATTATCTAAAAATAAATCAGTGCATTATCACTGATTTACAATTCTGTACTTATAATTGCTTGTAATCAGTGACTATTCACTAGAGTGAATCAGTGTATTATCACTGAAAAACAGTAAATAGTCACTGATTACAAGCAGTTATAAGTACAGCACTGTAAATCAGTTATAATACACTGATTCACTTTTAGAGAATAGATATACAAAATGTTTTGAACGTATACATGTTTATAGCATTATATTTTATTTGATCTTATCAAGTGACACGGCATATCGAATTCGATGTGATATTCTCCCAATTGTAAATGGCTATCTTTGTTTTACTTCTCATCATATAAATCATAGCCGTGTATTAGAAGATTAGATATAATATATAAAATTCTGTGTATGATATTTTCTGAATTTCTGCGATAAACAAAGCACTTCTCTTTTCTTCTCGCGTATCCTTTTCGCAATTTGAGTGTTCGTGCGCGCGCTTGCGAGAAAAAGTTAATAGTCAATATTAATGTAGATAATTAGATGTAGAAAATACATACACAATTCTATTTGTTCAAGAGAACTTGGCAAATTTTTCCTGAACTTACACATTCCTGATATTATACACTTTTTACATTATACACTAACTTGAAAAAAAAATAAATAGTTTTCCTTGAAAATATATAGAATTTTTGTATATAATAAATACAGAATTCCTGTCTTATATTATACATACATGATTAATAAAATTTGTAATCATGTAGATACTAATAAAGATTATTGTTCATATTATTGTGTTATATTCTTTAGATGTAAAATTAATCACAATGTACAATGTACAATATAATATTGTATTTCACATAATTCTACATAATAAGAGCGAAAAAAATAATCTTAATCAAAAAATATATTAATTTCTAATTTAAAAAGTTAGGTTAGGTTAGTTCGACTGTATTATATTAGAAAGTGGGAAAATATATTGTTTTCATTTATTTATACGTTCAAAATTATTTTAAAAACAAAAATTTTACATTTTCTTATATATAAATAAATAATCTGTAATATATATATTGTTCATCAAAAAAATTCGGAACATGTAATATTAGCGGGCTACTTTTTTGTGAATTTCCAAAATCACAAGTAAAACTCTATCATTCCGATTGTTATCATTTTTATACATATGAAATATTATATACTGTATTGCCTACACATCAAATATACTGCCTACATATCAAATATTATATATTTTATGATACATAAACTAATTTAGCGTCGTGTAAAATCATGTATGAAAATGTAAATCTGCAATTTTTACTGATATTACCTCATATATAATGAACAAAAAAATTTTTTGTATGTCAAAATTTTCACTTTTATATTAAAAAGTTATTATGTATGATAATATATGTATATCTATATATGACAAAAATACAATATTAAATAATAAAAAAATTTTTTAAATATTAACAAATTTGTCTTTACTTAAAACTCTTTTCTTTCCCGAAAAATTAATTTTATAATGTCTATGCAAATATATATCAACTTATTAATATAAATATTATCAACATTTAACTATATTTAACGATATCTGCAGCACAAAAAGCAAAATAAATTTAATGTTCCTTCTCTACAATTAAAAATTCTAGACTAAGAGTATTCCAAATTTTGTTAAATTATAGACCAAATATTAAGCAATTAATAATTTTTTAAAACATCCGAAGTTTTTCTACGAAGCATCGTGCGACAATTCCATCGCTAATGTTAGATGCACAATAGACAAACGTTTCTGAAAAGTGCATATCTTTGATACTTCATGTGATAATATGGAATTACAGCGTGACTTTCTTATATATTTTTAGTTTTTAGCAATTAGTTTTAGTTCCAATAGAGCTCCGCCTATATAATCGACGATTATGTTGTGGCAGCACGGTATCATGTTTTCTATATCAAAAACTTTCTTGTTTTTAGATCTTCAATTAATATCGTAATATTTAATTTAATGTGAACTCAATTTGTCTGATATTAGAATCACGTTCAACACAACAATCAGATAAATATATTATAATATATAAAAATAAACATAAACGTAAGAATGTAAATTTTTCTTCCACGATAAAAAAGAAAAGAGATACGTAAGATATAAAAGATATAAGATATAAGATATACACAAAAGTTATAACCGCAGTTTAAACGTAATATGAAAAGGAATATAGGAATAAGTTGTTCAGCTGCGATTCTTCGTAGATTCTTCAAACCAATTCCTTACACTATCACTATCGGCTTGAATACTGCATTCGGAGGAACAAAAATGTACATTCATAAGAACGAGGAAAGTTGGTTAAATCTTAAGAAGTATCCGTACATATAGATAATCAGCTGATTAAGTCAAATTATATGATGTCAAACCAAATTATGTCAAACTGTATTATTGGCAAACGAGCATTCATCGGATATTTTTAAATATTTACAAAGTAAGTCGTAATCGACGATACTTCCCATTTCTTTGCAGATTCGCTATATCATTATACGCGAATAATATGAAACTATTATGAATATCGACATATTACGAAAAATATAGTACGCGAATATACACTCAATATCATCGACAAATCTGCAGTTGCTTAGAGAAGATGAAAGAGATCGGAATAATCATCGTTGTCTTATTCTCTTTTATGTTTTCACTCGGCCGTGATGTAAACGTGTCATCTCGCATCGACGACGTTAGTGTAAGATTTATCATCAACGCAACGCTTATTCTATTCTCACTTTCGAGGCTATCTCTACAATTGCGAATCGAATATGACAAGACTTTCGTATTCATAATTATATATGTCAATCATCTAACGCAAAAGAAAATGTTCTAAATTTTTAACAATAATCAATTAGAAGCGATTATTATCATTAAATTTGTTTTTTTACTGGTTATAATTTGTTGATAATAAAACTTTTCATACAAAAATGGGGACTTTGAAATTTTGGAAAAAAGAATTTTAAAAAAAATTTCGTTGATTATAACAATTGTCCCTCCGACTGAAATAATTTTTTCTTCACACATTTTTCCTTGTCATCGAGAGCAACAAAAATATTTTAGATAGTTAAGTTATAGGATTTATTCTGTAGGTATAAATATTTTAGATAGTTAAGTTATAGGATTTATTCTGTAAGTATAATGTGAATGATGTGAATGTAAATGATATATTTTTATTCTATTCATTACTGAAAAAAATGAATAGAAATATTAATATATAATATATAATTATTAACATATATTTAATGTATTCTAATTAACTCAAATATATGTCTTACAGATGACACTATTAAATTATCGACCAATTACTTGACGCGTAATTTCTATGAAGAATTCAATCCAAAAATTTATAATAATTTAGAATATCGAAATTTGTACTTATATATGTTATTTATGTTTGACAAAAGCACACAATACGAATATGAATACAAATAATAGACGTAGATATCGCATGCCTCAGATAAAATAATTAAAAGAATTAGTAGATTTTATTCTTGTATCATTATGAATTTTATTCTTTAGTTACATAAACTTTAAACTTTAAATAAAATCAACATAAAAACGATTTATTTTGTTTAATAAGGTAGAGTTACGGTACATTACTATCTATTATTAAGAAAATCATTTAAGTTTTGATTGATTAACAATCAGCATTTTTTTACGTATCTGTATAGGAATCTTCTAGTTATCATAATCAGTGTTTCAAATTAAAAAACAATCACACTTGAAGAAAATGTTCGTCGTCTCAGTAAAGTAGCTGCTCCTTCAAAATAGAGGAAAATATTAATCAAATAACGATAACAATGATAATGTCAATTTAACTTCAATTTAATTTCAACATATGATAATTCAATTTTAGAGATTTTCGAGAACTTTATTCGGATAACGATGTAGTTCTCGCAACAAGATTCAACAGTGATTTTCTCGTCATACTCTAAAAAACATATTACTAACATAAGTGTCATGAACAAAATGAATATATTAAATTTTAACTTATACGAATTATTCATGCAATAAAATTACTTGTATATAATAATCTAAATGATAAAATTATAATGTGTGTTTACACATTACATATAAGAAAAATTTTATAAGAAAAATATTGCAAATAAAAGTAAAACTACGTAAAGCTACGTATAAGCCGCACAATTTACATAATTCAAGTGCAGTAATAAATAATATAAATCCCAGCTGATTCTTCACAGACTAAAACATAGACTCCCTTTCTTCCCTTTTCCTACATCATGAAAATTCTTTGCACTATTATTATTCAGATAGTGTTCGACTGCACTATTAAGAAAAATTTGTGAGAACTATGAAAGCTGACAAAATCTTAAAATTACATATTTCATGATACGTAATGAATAATCTGTTCGCAGACATTATCATGTCATCGTAGCATCGTCACATTGTGATAGAGTATTTCACATGCAGTAATAATGCTCGCATTACATGCTTATTTGCGTCAATTGTCCCTGCATTACATTTTTTCATGGACCCGTAAACAGTTTCATTATAGGCGAAATTATATAAACTGGTATATGCGAAAAAATTACGGTGTTCATACTATTATTTTACAATCAATATTATCGATCTCGAATATTATCTCGAAAAAATCTTTGCGCAATTGTTGGATGGATACAAGAGTGGCCAGAATGTTTCCTATTGTCTTGTTCCTCTTTACATTATCGTTCGATAATAGTTTGATCGCATTCTCTCATCAGATTGATGATGTTATTCTAAAATTTATCATTGATATACAGCCAATTTTATTCCCCCCGTCGAGAGTATCTCTACACTTATGCAGTTATGGTAAGATTTTCGAATTTTCATTACCGTATTAGGCAAGATTTTTTGAAAGTAGTGTCTATATATATATATAAAAAATAACTAAAAAAAATAATAATAAATTATAAAAAACTAAAAATTTGTATGATCTCATTTATAATGTAATAAATTATATATATATATATATATATATATATATATATATATATATAAAGAGATTTATTATAACGAATATATATATATATGTATATTCATTATAATAAACCTCTTTATACATAAAAATAAAATAGTGTTATAGAAGTATTTATGCAAATATCTCGCCACTAGAAGATCGCGGTAAAATCTTTTCAATTTTAAATTTAAAAAAATATACAGAAAATTTTAATAGTTTCTAATTTTTATTTAATAGTTTTTATTATCTTTTTTCTTAGATGACAGGATACCTGGATTTTCCGAAAAAAATTATCCTAATCCTTCGTGGGTTATTTTTTTTTAAATTTCCAAAAGCAAAACTGAAAATCTATCATTCCAACTGCTGTCATTTGTACACACCAAATATTATATACTGTACTGCCATCTTATGATAAAATTACCAACTAATGTACACGACGTAAAAAATGCGGTCATATATAAAAGTGCGAATCTGCAGTTTACAATCTATATGCTGACATTACGTTATATGTATGTATATAATAAACAAAAAGATATTTTTCGTATTTCAAAATATTCATTTTTATATTAAACAGTTATTTATATATTATTATATATTATAATATGTATGTATCTATATATAATAAAAATATAATATTAAACATTTAAAAAATGGAATTTATATCTTTATCTGAAATTCTTTTCCTTCCCAGAAAATTATATAATATCTATACAAACATATATATATATCAATTTATTAATATAAATCTTATCAACATTTAACTATACTTGATGATTTCTTCAGAACAAAAGATAAAATAAATTTAATGTTGCTTCTCTAGAGCTATTAAGAATTCTAGATTAAGAGAAATAAAAATTAATTATAAAAAAATGAAGAGATTAGATTATTTCTTTTTAGATAAATTTCAAATTTAATTAAATTATAATTTATAGCTCAATTATTAAGTAATTAATAATTTTTTAAAGTATCCGCAAATTTTTTTACAAAGCATTATGCGCCGGTGCAATAATTCCATCGCTGATTCGAGATGCGCAAACGTTTCCTCGAAAAATGCATGTCTTCTTGCTTAATGTGATAATGCGAAATTACACTGCGATTTCGTTATGCATCTTTAATTAGCTTTAGCTCCGATAAACTCCGCCTATAATCGACTATGTTGTGGTAGCGCAGCGTCATAGCAACCCGCCATAACCGGCACAAGGCAAAGCCCCGATAGTAGTAAATAAATCCATCGTGTGTCGCGATGTCGAATTCTTGAATTCGATCAGAAAAATGTCGTTGTTTAAAACAAAAGAATGGTGGAGAACACAGTGCGGAGTGAACGAATCCTTCGACAGGCGCAGCCTCCTGATCGCGCCGTTGTTTGGCGCCGACCGGAAAGACATTGTCGTCGTCGGCAGTCACAGTGGATGCCTGCGGATATATAGCCCGTCGTCGCAATGGATAGAGGAAACGAAATCGCCGAGTGGTTACAAGTCCACAGATCTGATCATCGAGACACAAATCGGCGACTGTATCGTCGACATGAAGACGGGAAAATTCGTCTCGTAAGTGAGAATGCGATGTTTGCGAAGTGAAAAAATCATTGACATCGTGAAGAAATATTTTTAATTCCGAAATGCATAGTCTTTCTCGTAAAGAAGACTTGTAAAAGTCAGAGAAATAATTCAATAATTTCAAGAGATTAAAATCAATCAATGCAAAAAGTAAAAGCATTGTTCAAACTCTGTTTAAAAATTATATCAAATGAAAACAAAAATTAAAGCAAAGTAAAGAAGTATAATAGCAAAGAAATATAATAATAATAAACTAAATAAATAATTATTATAGAACTTCAAAAATTCATTTAATATATTTAAGAGAAAAGAAAAGATAATTATTTTATTATATATATATATATATATATATATATATATATATATATACATAGTTTAATGAAAGATATGCGATTTAATCTTTTATTATATATATAACTAGAAATAAAATAAATTATACAAATGCTAAAAATAGAAATATGAAAAAATTTATTTATTTTTAATCTCTTCTCTAAATATCTCTTCTCAAATTTAAATTTATTATTTAAAGTTTATATTATTCTATATAAATAAAATAAAAAGTACAAAATTTCTGTACTTTAATTTTTCATTTATCTGATATAACAATCTTGTATTTTAAACATTGTTTTCAATAGAGAATCAAGTATTAAAATATCTGAATATTTATTCTATATATATATGTATTTATATTTATGTAAATATTCTTTATTAATTATATTTATTGTGTCTATAAATATAGCACATCAACAAATATTTTTATATGCTTTTATATTTTTAGCTAATACGTGTATCTTACAATAAATGGTTCTTCGCTCAAATACTGTATTTTTACTGAAATTGCTCTGTTTCAGAGGCTCGCAAGATACCCGACTCGCGATATTGACATCAACAAAACTTATCATTTACAGTATTGTTTTGAACCAAGGCTCCATCGAACATGGTAACGCAATATGACTTGTAACGCAATCATATTAAATTTTAAAGCAATAAATTAAAATACACTTTGATACGTTCATTTTTTTATAATTTAATACATTCATTCTTTTTTTAAATTTTACTTCTTTTTTTGACTAATTTTATAGATTTTTTTATAGGTCTTTTAGTTATTAATTTAATAGGTCTTTTATTTGTTAATTTAATAAATGACATGTTTTAGAGATGTACATAATAAATAAATCGTTTTTTATCGGTTTTTATTTAAAAGAAAATTTTCATTTGATGAAAATAGAGAAGCTATGCGCCGTTAAAATTTTCTTTTTATTTGAACTCTAGAGTTATATTATATTATCGAAATATTAATTGTAATGACAATAATTACAATAAGGCAATCTTTGATAAGCAGCCCGACTAATAAGATCGAGTTATCGTGAGTCTTTCGTGGGGGAGAATCGATTAGAATTCTCACATTTGATCTAAAACAGTCTATCAGTAAGAATTTATAAAAATCTGCATAGATAAAATACATGTCTACGTAGATAAAATACAGATATGTAAATCGTTACACATCTTTTCATTTCATGATATACTTTGTAATTCTTTTAATATCTGTCTCTATTATTGATATTATCATTACTGCTGTTATCATCACAATTAATATTAAATATTACATTGATTCTATTTATATATTATATATTATCATTGTCATTACATTATTGTTTTCATCGTCATTATCACATTATTATATTATTATTATTATAAATTTTAGGTTTACGATGACATGACTGAATAAAGAATGAGTAAGATTATTTTTTGCTGGATTTTTCGAAGATTCCTGAGGCAAATGTTCCGAGAGCCGGTCCTGGCAACGCAGATAAAATGTCTGCGAGCGCTGGCCGCTAACGAGCCGCGCAACGTTACGCATCACGAGAGCGCTAAATTATTCGCGAATAATTCTCGACAGCGAAAGATATACATGGAAACGTTGCTACGGCAATATCTCGCGATGCGTCGATGCCTATTACAACAGAATGATTTTCGTCCGGCAGAGTGTGTCGTCACACAAGTCGTAAAACCGATATCGTATCGTTCTTTTGCAACAACGTGTTACGTATAACGATGATATAAGAATTGAAATGATCATTGAAGCTGTCATTGATGCTTTAAAATTCGTAGAATGACGACAAAAAAAATTATTCATATCGATCGTAGTATTGATTATTGAAATATGTTATATGATAAAACTGTATTACTAATTTATTTTATATTCTATAAAGATTATTTGCTACAATAAACAAAAATTTAATTTTAGATTTGGAAATTTTAAGATATTGCGTAATATCTTAAAAAAATATATACAACAATTAATATAATGAAACTAATTTCATTTAAATCTATCTTTTGCTGCAGCAATTATATAATTTTCGAATTTTTAATTACAATTAGAATTTTCATGTTACATCGATCGATCGATCTTTCTGATCCATGTTCATATTTTATATGTAATGTCATGTTTTATATGCTAAATGTAATCACCTGATTCCTCATTAATTACAATATCGTATATGAGCTTCATATAAGCAAATTATATTAATGATTAAACGATCGTATTTAATACTTAATATGAAGTATAAAAATCGGACTACGTATTTATCGATCATTTAGTGTGATATCGCGTATCAAAGAACGGAAAAACGCGTCGCGCAGTCTCGCTCGTTACGATCGCAGATCGATTGAAAACTATTACACGTCGTTGCATGTCTCTTTTTTTTCTTTTCTTCATCGATTTTTCTTTGATTATTTACGTAACACTGAGAGAACTTTTTTTAATTTTCTACGATCCGCTTGATTAATTATATTCTTATGCTTAAGATTTAAAGTAAGAATATCTTAAAGATTAAAAAGAAGAGTCAAGACAAATTTCATTTTAAAACACCATATGTGAGAAATGTTTACCGATTAATACTAATGATTTATGCACTTCTACAAACGATGCGGGAAATTATGTATATAACCGCAAGGGAATATAGATCGTGATACAGTGCTGATCATTAGAAGTTGGTGCAAATAGTGTTTATAATATACAACACTATTGTAGCAATGTATTATAAAATATATGATAGTTGCAGCTTAAAAATAATATTTATACAATATCGTATGAAAAATATCTAATTATATTTTATACAAAGTTTCTTTTACAATTTCCATCGTTGATATTAATTAAATTAAAATTATATATATAAATATACGATTTTTTAATTAAATTCAATTTTTTATTTGCGATGACAAAATGTACTGATCAAAAATCAAATGATCGGTTCGATCGTTTGTGTTTCTCGCGTTATAATCCAAGATCGAGAGAGGTGCCTCGAGCTGATATCTCGTTAAATCCAGCCGATATTAGACGCGAACAACAACACCACGACTGTCGAGCGTTTCGTAATAACTCGCGATCGCCGTTACGTCGTCGTGGCGCGTGTATATATCTCTTTCGAGCGCGCGATTCCTCGCTCTGGACGGGCGTGGAGCGGAAAGCGAGAACTCCGATTATCTTCCTCGCGATGAAAAACCGTTGACGCCGATTCCCGTTCCGTTCCGATTGCTTGTCGCTCGCGGGGAGAGCGCAAATTACGCGCGAGTTGTTTTCGCGTGCACGTAAATTGCGATCGTCTGTGATTGACTTCTTTCGCGAGATCGCGTTGAAGACAGCAACGTCAACGCCTACTTCCTGCGACACCACGTAGGCGCCACCAAGATTTTTGCAATCCTTCTCTCATTCACGCAAAAGAAATGCAAATTAAGCGATATAATTTCTTATCTATTCTGTTAAAAATAGAAGTACCTTCTCCGCTCAATTTCCAATGTTTTTAATTTTCTTCTCTTCTTTTCATTTATAATTTGCAGAGAAATTCACAATTCTAATTTTAATGTAATAAGAATATTTATAAAAATAATTTTCATATATAATACAAATAAATTATATAAGAGAAAAATATTCAGCAATATTATTTCTTTTTATTTTTAATGCCTTTAATTTTCTTTCCTCTCTTCTTTCTTCTACACGCGCTATTTGAAAAATCATGTTTATCTTGCTCTCACCTTTTTTCTCGGTCGCTCGTTATATATGACGTCGTGATATATGTAATACGCAAATCACCGATCACTCTCGTCTGGACGCTCAAACGCGGTCACGATGAATTGCGACCTGACCTATATACGGACAGGAATCACGATTGTTCGCCGACTCGAACCACTTGTCTAACGCTGCCCGAGTTCACACATCAATCTCGCGTATTTATTTTCTCGATTAATTGCAACGTATATGTCTATAGATGTATATAATGTCAGTCTAATATAATATCGAAATAAAATTCCGCAACAATTCTCCAGTCCTTGAGATTAAAAAAATCTGAGAAATTTCTTTTCTAATACATTAATAAATTACGCAAGTTTCTCTCAACATTTCATCGTTTGATAAGAGTAAGATTTTATATAATAAAAGAATCTTTGATAAACATAAAGAAACTGTTATAATTTATATTAAAACAAATAAAATTTCTGCGTTAAGTAAATTTGCTATAGAAATCTCCAAACTGATTAATAAGTAGACGTAGATGAGAAAATAATTCGGTATATAATCAATAGTCAATGTTTATCACGACTTATTAAAATCTTCATAAAAATGTGCGTGATATAATATTAATATTAATTGCATCATCAATCAAATAGTTTTTGACGGAAGTAGGACAAAACATGTTATTACATTGTTTTACTCTCGAGATCGACACAGAATTTCATTTTAAATACATAAAACTCAATATAAGAGAAATTGTTTTACAACATACATGAGATCACAATTTGAGAAACAATCTGAAACTCCGATAAATCCGATAATTTATTCATTCATTTGTTTCAATATATTTATAATAAATCTCAAAAAGAGAATAAATAGAAGAGGAGAAAAAGAAAGAGAAAGAAAGATTTAGGAATCTTTTTAAATCACGCGTTTTACGATTAAGATTTTAAATTTCAAGCTTCATTTTATAAATTGTTCAGAAATTGTTAATTTAATTATTATCGTTGTAATCTCCTTGCAGGCGATCGTTGCGACCTGGAAGCTGTTTACGAGCACTTGCTGCCGCGATTTCCGGCGTCTTTAACGACAGGTCCGTTCGGCGGTGTGCGGGGTCGAGACTTTCTCTGCGTCCAATGCCTGGACAGCACGCTTCTCTTCTACGAGCAGGAGACTGCTACCTTCAGCCTGGTTCTCGGGAATCGACTGCTGCCGGAGCCGATTGTCTACATTTCGCGGAACGACGTCTTCGTGACGTCGAGCTCCTCGTGGAGTCTCGAATGCTACAGGCAGGTTGTTCTACTCGTACCCATCTTTCCGAGTAACCTGTCAATGAACACCTGCCGGTGTATATAGAGATAATGTGGCTGCGATGTATCAGATTGCAGTCTCGTCTTTCGGGATTGTATGTGAGCCGAGAGGACGAATGAAAAGTTATGTAGCAATGTCATTAGAATCTCGCAATAGTGTGATGAGAGAAAAATTCCTAATTTTTAAAGATCGCTGAAACATTTGACGATATGTGAAAAGAAATATAATTACATATCCTTAAAAAAATTTCTAATTATTAAAAGAATTCTGGTTTAGCGCATTTGTGTACTTTTAGAAATGAAATTAATATAGATCATAATATTGCAGAAAATAGTGATAACAAAGTAAAAGAGAAGGAGAGAAAGAGAAGTAAAATATCTTTTTTAAAACATATGTAGAAAAATTTGTATAAATGTATTTTTTCATATTTTCGAAATGTCTATATATGTGAATTATTTATATCATATTATTGGAATTTATAGTATTAATAAAATAAGATCGGAAAGATATGTATATATGTTTCGTAGATATAAGAGTATGGCGGAATTCGGAAGCAAGGATCGCTCGGAAGAACCGAAGAATCTGGAGCCAGATTGGAGTTACAATATCGGAGAAGCCGTTCTCGACATCGATGCCGTTACCTTGAGCAGTTTCGAGGTCGGGATTCTCGTGCTCGGTGAAAAGAATCTCTACTGTTTAAAGGACAATTGCGTTTCTCTCAAGTACGCGAAGAAACTCGAGTACAAGGCTCTCTGCTTTCAAGCCTACGTGATAGGTATAATTGACGATAAACTTGGAAATTTATCCAAAGAAAAAGAATTAGAAGAAAAAAGACAAATCAACTCACATCTCGTTATCTTTGCTTCGGTTTCATTTCTTCTAGATTTCTCTTCTAGATTTCTTTTCTCCTTTTCCCTCCTTCTCGCGAAGAAGGAAAAAGGGGGAAGAAGCAAACTAGTTGGATAGAGAATCGTGTTTATACACTTGATGCACGATGCGACACGTCTAATTACTTTTAACGGATAGAAAATAAGTGTGCTAATTGAGCATGATGCTTACAGAACCGGATGGCAAGCTGATGGTGCTCGTAATCGCTGACACGAGCACCCTGATGATTTACGAGGGTACGACTCTTAAGTGGTCGGCTCAGCTGCCGCTTACTCCGGTCGCTGTAACTCGAGCGCATTTTCAGGTAAGCGATTGCATAATTCTATAACTCTTACGTTCTCAAAATCGTGTTTCGCGGTGTTATTTTGTAGAAAATGAGAAAATCATATATTATTACGTGGCACCGGGAAAAAAGTTTAAAAGATTAGCGTTTTTCTTCAATTTTTGTCTTTTTTGGAATGACAAATTGTATTATGTAAGAAATAATACATGATATTATATAATGATGTTATAGAATTATTAATTAGAGTAACATTGAAAAAATATATTTCAAGTTTTTCGTATTTCAATGTATAACATTAAAAAAAATATAACAAATATATATAAATGTGATATATAAAAAATACACAATATATAATACTTTTAAGCGTACAACAATTTCTATCACGATTTTCCTATTATAAAAGAAAACAAAGATAAGACATATCGACTTTTTTGTAATGCGCGGAGTCAACATATTTTTTCAGAGAAAGAAAGCTTCAACTACTGAGTTAGGTTCATATTGATAACCTATCACGTGCACGCATGTCTTATGTATTTTATTTTATCACCTCGCTCATGGTAGTAACGAAACAGGAATTTATAACAATGACTGAAATGTATCTAACAGAGCAGTCATTAATCTTCGTCGAGATGAGGATAGGAGAAAATAAAAAAAGTTCTTACCGTCCGACGAGAGATTATCTTATCCGAATAATGACGTCGTAGAGTAATAAGAAAGAAAAATATATGAAAGAAATGCTTTTAAAAAAAGAGAGAGAGAAAGGGAGAAAGGAAACCTCGATGGGACGTGTATCTACGTTCGTCACGATAGTCCGCAATCAGAGCCGATGACATTTGACAAAGGAACGAACGGGACCTTCGTCATATCGGTGTTCCTCTTCCGTGTCGCACTATCAACATCACCAGTTGTTTCTCCGGCAACGTTGTGTCAGACTCGGATCTATTGTGTCCTTGTTATCAGAAACCGAAATACATCGTCTACATCGTTTTTTGAAGAAAAAGAATCCTTGACTCATTAACTTTACGATAAAAAATCTTATGAAAATCTTATTTTATCTATCGTAAAACAAAGAATGTACGTCGATGGTTTAATTTCTAATGAAAAAAATATGAATTTCTCGTTATAAATTTTACGAGATATCGTATTTTTAATGCAGATTTAACTAGTTGCGCTAGTTGTGTATTGTTGATTCTTATTTCTTGAATAAAAATTGTTCAAATGAAGTGAAATAAAATCAGAACATTTATGTAGATAAAATCTGATTATCTTACGAAGTGTTCCTTTTGTTTTTTGTTTGTCACTCTTAGAAATATTCGGAACCGCGATATGGAAAAAAGAAAAATGAGTAAAGATAAGGGCGAGGAATGCAAGTGGAGATGACGATCGAGGGAGACGCTCAAGGCTCGAAGCATCGGCAATGAAAGAGCAACCAGAAAAAAGAAAAAAGATCACAAGAGTGCAGGAAAGGACGAGGAGCCGGCACAATTATCACCCTGGTTTTATCTTATCGTCCTGCCGCAGAGCCAGCAAGGTTGCCATTGTTGTCTTTCCGGAGGACACAGAGCGCGCGAATTGCTGGCTAATTAGCTTAATACCGAGAACTCCGCTTCGTTAATCAGCAAGCTGTTGTAACAATTTTTTGAGTAGCGTTGTTTCGCGTGTATAATGGCAAACTTAAAAAACGCCTAAATCACGAAAAAATAGCAACGAATGATTTACCTTGCAAAGGCAAAAAAGGCTCGTTAACAATTTTTCGCTTGTCGCTATACGAAAAAAAATTCGCTAAAAATGTTTGAAAATTCTATAAACAACATTTACCACTGAATTCTTGAAAATTGAAGTAGATAGAATTTACAGTTAGTCTTGATCAAAATGCACAGCTGTAATTCAGAGATCACTGCAATTTTTAATCTTAAAGGTCAGACGATTTTTTTACAGACAGTAAGTCTTTAATTTAGCTCTCTTTAGTTTCTTCCGCGACGAAGATAATAACTATGATATTACACATAGGCTATTCCAGGTTTCTCGCAGTTCTTTCTTATCCACAGTTTCTTTGACCAATTTGGAGTTGATTTCTTCTTTTGCAAAGATGTACGACTGTAATCCGAAGCTTGTTATCTCTCTTTGTAGCATTTAAACGGAGTGATCGTCGTTCTCTCCGAAGAGGGTCAGCTGGAGGCTTGCTACTTGGGCTCGGAGCCGTCATTATTTATCGCGCCTCCTCTTCATCGACGCGGTTACGATTACGTGGCCGCTGAGGATGAACTCATGGAGCTCCGCAAGCTGGCAAAGAGAAATAAGACTTCCGGTACGCATTAACGTGAATCAATATGCCCACAGTAATTATCTTTGATGACACATATAAGAAATAATAATCTATAATTAAATTTCTCCGAAGTCTCTCCAAATCGTCGCGTATAAAATTGAATTTTATATAATTAAACTTTTTTAATTATCCTATAATTGAAATTATAAGGCAATCAGCTGACTGATGTCACCATGGACGCCGAGCTGATAATATCTGTGACCGTGTCTCTGGATCTGGAAGCCTGTACGCGCGGAAACCGAGAAGATTCTAAGGACGACACAGAGAGTCGTAATTTAATGTGCAGAATCACTATAGAATTATCCACTTACACGACGTTACACGATGTTCAGGTGTGCGTGGACGTTTCGAAGCCGTTCATCGCCGAGAAAGATTGCCACGTTATTTCCAATCTTTGTAAGCGAATCACATAAAACTATGTATTTACGACGCCAAGTCTAAATAAAGAAAATGGATATTCCAGAACAAAATAGAAAAATCATCGAAGATGTAAACAAAAGAATTAAACGACATATAATTAAGTAATATATAATTAATTATACATCTTCTATAATAACATATATTATATATGTATTTCGTGTGTATTTCTCTTCACTTCTCTTTATTTATTTTTTATCGAAACGATAGAATTGCTGGAATGTTATAATCGTTGCTAATTCTCGGCCAATTAACCGAATGCGAAGGTGACCGGCACATTCTGCGCACGATGATCTACGCGACCGCGGATCTGCCGGCATTGTCGTCAGATGTGAGAATCACCGCGAGCTATGAGACGGCGGATCGTGGGAGCCTGCGTGTACTTCAGAAGACGGCCCAGCTGCCCCTGAAGATGATGCTGAGAGTCTGCCCACCCGAGAACACGTCCACCTTCACGGCGACCATCAAGTGCAGCGAGCCCCTCGTCGCTTTTAGTCAGCTATTTCCCGGTAAATCCATCGGCACTATCGTTTATAATGTTCTCTTCTTCCCCTCTTTTCCCTCCGTCTCGCGACCAGGGCTGCAATCACGATAAAACTATTCTTTCAAACATCTCCTCGACAAATTTTTTTCCCAATTTACTATAATAAACTATCTGAAAATTCTTTTAAGAAAATTCAATTAAAAAATTGAAACTTTGATACGTAAAAAAATGTTATTACTGTATAGTATTGTATAACCGTTATACATTGTAAAATGTACGAAAATCAAGATTAATCTCGTAATGAAAATTTGGTTCTATTTATACTTATCATACTGAGAGATATTACCATGCCGTTTGCACATGATTATAAAATTGTATTTTAAAATTTCCTTTTTATCGCAAAAAATGAAATATATACAAATACATAAGCATAATATTTAATATTGCAATTAAATTAGTTTAATGCAATAAAAATGGGTGACTAATTTAAAGTGTGTAATTTATAAAAATAAAATCCCACAAATATTATCAGTTGAAAAGAGATCGATTTTTTAAATAGAATGACTCTTGTATTTCACATCTTTCATGATACCGCCCTGTTGGTTCCACAATCACTGTAAAAGAATTCCCTAAAAAGTCACGGATCTTTTTTACTTCCATTGCCTCGGTATTTTGCCCCCCTGTTCTCCATCGGAAATTACGGGCCAGGAAATTGTGGCTAGAGAATTAGGATGTCTCGTTTGCGAACGGCGATATTAAAGAATCCAGTCTCTTTCTCTTTCTCCCTCTCTCTCTTTCTCTCTGTTTATTTTTCTTTTTCTTTTTCCTTTTCTCTCATTCGAAGACTTTAAATGCACGCATCCTCGACCCACCTAATACGATAATCAGACATCGCACGAGGCCCCGGGAATCTTACTTAGACCTCTTCAATCACGATGCATTTTCTTTCTTTTATCGGCCACTCGATTTTAAGCCTCGCATACCTGGTAGATTCGTAATTTAAAGTCGGTAAAATTCTCCTTAAGTGAATTCCTTCCCTCCTCTGTGACCGTTCAATCATAAAAATATCAACGCATACACACGCACATACATGCACACACATTCTTTCTCCAGTTTCAATATGTCAAATATTAAATATAAAGACTGTCTTAGAATATTCAATTATAATTTTAAAGTTGCAAATTTTCTCATCAATCTAGAATCAAACTTTCTTTTCTTAAGAAAAATTTCAATAAAAATTAATATTTGTTGCATCTTTTTAATAATCATACTCTTAAATACTCACATATCTTGAAACATCAAATAAATATTAGCAAAGATGAGTTTGCAAATGAACAGTGAGATTTTCTGGTCTAATTGTTGTCCAAAAGATTAGCTCGCGAAGAAAGCTTTTAATTTACAATAATCATTCATAGAGCTTACAGGGGACGTGCAGAGGCAAAATTGGAATGCACTCGGCTTGCAACATGTGCAAACTGGTAGCGTGGTGACAATCATTTCCGGTACTAACAGCAACAGGTATCGAGTGCAATCGAACGACGGGCTTTCAATGGCCTTGGTGATTCAGCAGTTGGTGAATAGACTCAAAGACAAGGCCACCGGAAATTTTACGACCACTATCACGCAAAATCACATACAGCTAGTTCAGTCTCAAATGGAGGCTCACTTTCGCAGCCGCCAAGAGGCCGACAGAATCACGGTAATTCATTTAAATGAAAGTTTAATGCAAACTGTGTCTAGTGCATGATTAAAAAAATATTTATATATAGCTTTCAGAAATTTTTAATATAATTTTAATTTTAATTAATATAAATATAATTTTAATGTTTTCATTCAAAATTGTATTTTATTGTTAACATTTTTATATTCCTTTCTCACTTTTTTATTAATATTTTAATTCCTATTTTATTTTTCATCGTACAAATAATATGAAGCGTTAGTAAATTAAAAATTTCCGCAAAGTTGCACATATAATAGATCTCTTTTAAAAAAATATATAAGATTTGATTCTCAGAATTTATTTTTTATTTCTATTTCTCTCTCTTTCTTTTTCATTCTTGAAAACTAATGCTTTCGTCGCTAGCGTAAGATTTAAGATCAGCCTCTCTCGCAATCACGAGGACGACGATGACGACGTCGGTGGCGTCCGATTCATTAACATCGCCGTCGCCGTCGATTAATTACCCCCGTTTCTCTCCTTCTCGGTATGTTTTTTTTCGCAAGTACAGAACGAGATCGGGCTGCTATCGACCCAGTTGAGAAACATCGAGAGGAGGATGCTGCGCGTCGTGAGGGAGCGAAACACCCGATCTTTGGCCACGACCGGATTGCCGTTCCTCTTGGAATCGACTTATCGTTCGATCTTCGCGCTTCTGGATGATCTCGCGATCGCACGAGCGGTAATTGACCGAATTTCTTAGTCTTCTTTTCCCTACACAACCAAATCGTTATATATCTTAGCCTTTATCATCATTCGACCTAAATGTAATCGTCCAACGCGATTCTGATTTCATTTTGTTGTAAAATTGCTGGAGCAATAATTTGATTTTCATCAAAAATATTTTTCATCTTGCACGAATATAATTATTCTTATTAATTATTCTTGTTGCACTACATATTCCGTATTTTCTTAAAATTAAAAAAGATGAAAACTGTCTTATACATTTTCTTAACATTTATTTTAATATTTTTTTAAATATTTGTTTTAATAGTTTTGTTTATTTTTATATCAATTAACTGCAAAATATTTTCATCTATAATTTTTATATAATTCTGATCAGAAAAATGCGTAGTGAATATTCTTTGTATAATACCACAATTAAAACTGTAGTCTCAAAATGAATAAAATGAATAAGATCGATATTTCTCGCAAGTTGTGCGCGATAATTGGTTGCTCTAGCTTATATTCATTCGATGCTGGCAGCTATGGCGAGCGGCGACCGTAATCTCGATCATATAAAACACGCGAGAGAGCCGCATCGATCGCGATCGCAGCCGATATAGTACGCCACGCTTTATCGCCCACCGATCTAGAAGCGGAGATGGCGATCGCACCAGTGGTTTCGCGAAACCCTATCAATGCGCCTGGACCCCTTGCCATGTGATCGTTACTCGATTCCTCTCGTTGCGCTCGAATGGCTTATTATTTGCGAGATTTATGGCGTTCCCGGAAAAGGAAATTCGACGCAAATCACGTTTAGATAAATAAAGAGAGAAGAATCATTTCGCTATCATTATGAACAACTTGACGTAAAAGAAATTAAGGCAAATTAAATAATAATCGATGTTATCGTTGCATTTTTGCGACTTTGTAATAAGAAATCGGCTACTATTATTGAATTTCTTTCTATCTATGCAATTGAATTCTTAGGAAATACAATCAGGAATTAATCTGTGTATAATTAATGAACGTGGTCAAGGATCAAATTAAAATTAATGACTGATATATTGAAGAGAAAGCAGAGAGAACGCGACAATCGTTACATCGAGAGAATATAGAAGCGAATAAAAGTAAATTAGCAAAAAGTTTTTAATTTCATTCTAGATTCGAGCTTCTTTCAAGGATTATATATATTATATATATTTCTGAAAGGGAATTTAAATCGATATAATTTTGGTGAAGATTTTATCTCAAAAACATTACATTTAAAAACAAAAAAATTAATTTATAAAATTATAAAATAAATTAATTTACAAAATTATAAAGTTATAAAAGAAGCATTGAGAATTTGATTTTGCAAAAATGATATTAGAATCGATTTCTGACCTAAATTTTTATTCGCATTGTCAGAGAGCGAATAGCATAGATCGACGATTTGCAATGTCCGTTTGACGGAATGCAAGATGAGATAATTGGACTGTTGCAGGATCGAGAACGTACCGGTCACGGTTTGCGGTGCGCCGTGAGGTTATTACTTCTGCTATTGCGGCTCAATGTAAACGATGATAAGTACACGATGCTCGAAGCCGCAATCGGATTCGAGCCACAGCTGCGCGACGAACTCGTAAGTACTATCGGTTAATAATTCCGCTTTAAGCGGGAAAACATTCGATACATATATCCAAAGTGTAATTTTAATAAAAGAGTCTAAACTTATTTAAACAATTTTCGATATATTTAATTTGTCCCTATTAATTCTGAGATGTTAAATTTTTAAACATGTATATTAAAATTTCTCATGATATATAAATTAGAATTAATAGAAATAAAAAAATTAAAATTAATATATATAATATTAATTAATTAATATTATATATAAAATTTTTTTAAATTAATACACATAATTTACAATAAAATCGTACATTTTGTACATTCAATTTGAAATACAAACGCAGAGATATTTCTTCAGTTATAAGAGTTAGATTGGTCAACGTCCGCCATCATTGTAGCGAGAATCTTGTTATCGTTGTCGCGCATTGATTGACCGTGTCTTTCCCCTCTACTTCTTTTCCGATAAACATACGATCGATCGGTTCCACAGGACTGGGAAGAGATCGCCGACGCTAGTCTAAGCGCTTTTCTTCGGTCTACGTCTAGAAAATCCATCGGCCATCTGGACACGAAACCCACGACGTTAAGCAAGATGACGACATTCAAAGAATTCGCGAAGTTAAAGAAACGCCTGATTCATGCGGTCGAACGTCTCGACAGCCACCGAGAAGCCGATATTGCCGAAAACGAACCATTGGAAATTGGCGATCGCGCCTCTTCTTAGATATCCGTGTTGTAATAATTTAATAATTTATTATTGTAATTTATTATTGTAAATGCTTCAAGTAAAAATCTTAATGACGTAAGTCTCGTTACATCGTGAAATAAAATCTATTTTCAAAAAATAAATAAAATGTCAATTCATAATTACGATTCGGCTTTTTAAAAAAAAAAAAAAAGATATTTTAATGTGCGCTTTATGTATTTATTTCAATGAAAAATATGGAATGGAATTTTGAATAGAAAAAAAACAGAATTTAAATTCCGTCAATTCTCGAAAAAATTGATCGATATACGATTGATCGCTTCGTCATCCTTCGTGAAATCCTCAGGAGTTATCTGCGCATATATACCAGGCGTATCTCGGCTTGTGATTGCACGTAATACGTATCGATACGCCGTTACGCAGGTGCGACACACGTATATTATATTATGCACCGACACAGTGAAACCGAGCGTGGTTTACGTAAGTGCATCTATATGCGCCGGCGCTGCGGCGATAATTTCATTCCATATGCCTGCGGCATATTATCGAAATAGGCGAAGTCGAACGGCGTAACGTATAGTTTGAATGATTCACTGGCTGGCGCCACGATTCCGCTTTTTCGAGGCTAATTAATGGGAAGAATGTACGGGGCGAGGGAGGGTATGTGTTTAAGTCGGCGGGACCAATAACAGTCGCGCGCTTTGTTCGCGATAATTTTCCTACGAGAACATTCGCGCGCTATATAATGTATGCAAAGTGCCTGCCCCGCGTAGAATGGAAAGGATCGTAAGAATTTTTCAGATCCCCGACTGTATAAGCGCGATACCCGCCGCGACAATGAAGAGATACGCAATATATCGTACGGTTACGTGTATATTACTCCGTTGTTAAAACGGAGCAACTGCGCTTCTGCTGATTCTCTTCCGCTGTATGAAGTATCGTAATAAAATCATCTCGGAATTAAACCGACGAGGTTCGCGCGGAAATATATTTCTGTGATTGCAGCAGAGATTTATACTATTTAATAGCGTTGGATCAAAAGCCATACGTATTTATCTACTAGAATAGATTTTGTATTTATTATTGATCTTTTTAACGGTGATTTATACTTTTTCGTTTCGATCGTTTGATACTTTGTATACTCGTATCGCGCTTTGTGGCACGTCGAGCCGATACGCACAACCTGAAAGATACTTCTGCCGATGCGTGCGCGGCTTCCCACGAGCGTGAAGAAACAAATAGTCACGAGGCCCGAGTAACCATCGTCGAAGTGCTTGGCAAATATTTAGACGGCAGCACTTTTCCGTTGCGGCCACTGATGTAACAGATTGAAATATTTGCGGCCGCAAAGCTTTGCGGTTCGGATAAACGTCCCGCGGTAACATTGGCGGATAACCGCGAACGATCGACGCGTAAACAATGCAGCCTACAATGTTGCAATGGTGTAAACTTTTACGAGCGTGATGTTTAGTTATATTGGTCTAAAGTCAATATAGGCCTTGCGTGGAGTTCTCCAAAAACGTTTTCTTCAGTTTCAATGAAACTGGAATAATTTTTATTTCTCTTATTCGCTGCCATTTTTTCGATATCTAATATGAAACATTGATAATACCTTGAATTAAACTTTTGAGGAATTAAAATTTGGATTTAAATATATGTACTGTTTATTGTGTGTATATGTGTGTTTAAAAATCTGTCACAATTAGAGTTGAAAGATACTCCGATAATTTTCTTGAATTATAAAAGCAAATTTAAATCGATTGAAATAATCTGTCATAAAAATAAAAATCTAAGACAATTTATAAATCTTCTCACTGCAAGTTTCTCAAGAGGAAGACGATTTGTAATAATTTTCAACACAGATATCATCTCTGAGATTTCCTCAGGAAATCGAAAAGAACGATCGCCTATCGGCTTTGACTCGTACCACCAATTATCTCGCGTAGCAACGTGAAAAGATGCATAGATGCAGAAAGATGCCGCTCAATAGAATATTCCCGTGTCAGACGAAATGATCGATCAATCGATCGCCCGAGGCGCGTTAGAGATTCAAGAAAAAAAAAGAAACGACAAATCGATAACCGTGCGGAATAAATCGGCGACATCTCCGGAAGTGCATCGGAAAATTACGGATCGTACTATTATATCGCTTATTATATCGCTTCTTCGCCGGAGGAAATATGAAGGGAAAAAAAAAACGTTAAAAGCTATCTCGTATTTCGCCACCATCGATATCGGCGTCGCCGTCACCATCATCAAGAAAAGGGAGGAGAGTTCATCGAGGAGGTCAGGGTCCGAAGCATTATATTGCCAGCGTTTCCAGTTTTCTGAACGACTACATAAACAACTAATTGCGCACATTGCATTTTTTTTATTGCCTGCCTAATAGAGGATTTAATGTTCTTGGAAGTATACCAGAGATTATGCTGTCAATCAAGAGATGCAAGATTGATAAATCTACGATGTTTTGTTGAGAAACGCTTTGAAGAAATTCGCATTTTATACAATACATTAATAAATATTTTTATAAACTTTATCTTATCTCATCAGGTTTTTTTTCATCAATTTGAAGTCAATTTTTCAATAAAGAAAAGTGCATCGTGATTTTTAATATTAAACTGCAGACAACTTTGTTGTGAGTAAACCTGAAATTAAATCTTGATTGGAGGAAACTTTTCTTGAAATTAATTGAAAAAATAAAATTTGTAACTGACAGTTTATAAAGTTTCTGACATTACTACATGTGTCTTCGCTAAAAGTATCCTATCCGTATATATAGACGTATATATAAACAGTTCAAATAAATAATTGGATAAAAATCTAAAACTAAAATTTATTATTCAAAAAATTTTGAATACTTGTAGCTAATAACTATCTGGTAAACACTTGACTTTGAGAAAAGATTTATGTGAGAAGTGTTATCAAAAACACAAGATTCAACTCTGCACATGTTGCTCTTTGCATTATGCCGCGAATATACAAAGCTAATAGCAAGTAGTGAGCTAGTCGCTTGCAACTTTTATTGCCATTTGCTGAAAAAGCCACTTGACTTCCCGCTGTCTTTGTGTAAACGCATTGCTCGTAAACTTCGATAGACGCATAAAAGAAAAGGTTGCGGATGAGTTAGAAAGACGACGAAGACGACGAGACAGATGAGAATCCGAGAAACATACCTGAGAAGAAATGCTGAAAAGAGTTTCGTGTGTTTGTCACTCGATGCCACACATGAGATGTGACCTTTTCTCTATATAACTCGTCGCTTCCGACAATCGCCATTCATTCCACGAACTGTCTTGAATAAAAGCCGTTACGCTCGGGATGAATGAAGACTATATGAAAGAGTAGCGCTGACCATTCATAACTATTTGTCTTTATAAGAAAGTATCAATATTTTTTTACAAAAAAATTAAAATACAATTTGTAAATTAAAAAATAAAAAAATATTTTTAAAAATCTGAATAACAACGCGCTCAGGATGCTGAGCGAAAATCAGGATCACAAGATTAATTAAGAGACCGTTTCAATTTCTCAGTTTGAATCAAACTATTGAAAAATGACATTAGAATATAAGAAATCGAATATACGAATATTTATGGAGTTTGACTTATACATCCATGATCAGTAAGAAATAAATGTATTCCTGCAGACTCCTTTTTGACAAAAGACCAAGTATATATCGCGTTGATTCCCCTAAATTACAAGAAGTTAATAATTCTGCAGGAAGATAATCAACGAGATGCAATTTTTTTGATAATTTTCTGATCCAACAAAAACATGCAATTTGAGCGGAACTTTTAAATTTTCAGCTTGCAAAAAAACAAACTTACTCTCTTAATGTTCTTATGGATTAAATGACGCAATTATATTTAAGCATTTAATAAATAAACGATTTTTGTGCAAAAAGATGAATCTCGCGGCGAAAGCGAATCAACATCTCCTGGCCTATCGGGGAGGTCATTAAATTCCGAACGAGAGCAATCGATCCTTCGCCTTCCTTCGGTCGCATCCTGCTGGATTACGTGGAAACTTGCCTGCGGCTTTGCGCGATCGACCTTCCCGGAAGAAGCTGAAGGGAGACCCGACAGACAGGACGGCTTCCTGCGCGGTATGAGAACGCGACGGCCCAAGAGAAGCCGCGCGATTACGGATAGGATTCTTTTATGCTCCGGCTTGCGTCTGCATTATGCGCCGCCGCCGATCCAGATGGGTGACTCTTTAAAATGCGCGCGCGCGTGTGTTCGCTCGCAGAAAAACTGGTTCCGAATGAAGATGCATATTGTATGGGGCGCATAGAGGCGGAATCACGGATACGCACGGTCGTCTATCGGAAAGTTAATACATCGAGCGCAAAAACGACGGAGGTACTTAAAGGCCGCAGACTCAAATTGACTTCAGAGTCCGTATATATAACTAAGGTGTTGTTAAGAAAAAAATTCAATTTCCGTAAAGGCCCGATCGGAAAAAGTGTCAATTATCTCCCTAACTTTTAGTTCATAAAATGACTTTTATGGATTTCAGAATATATATAATATATAGGATTTCTTTCTCTCTCTCTCTGTGGGAGGTTTGCCTTATCTTTTTTTGTGCTCTTTCATGTGTAAAAACCTTCGTCAACTATTTAAAAAGCATCCACAATATCTTTTTCTTTCCAAAGTATCCAGAATATCTTTATCTCTTAAAATATTACAAATTTTACCTTTATAAATTCCTCGCTAATGTGAATCTTTCTCTAAAATCCTTAGTAAAATATGCTGACGTTTTCAGGTTATAATTCTGGTTATCTTTCCGGCAAATCTTTTAGTACCTTTAAACTTTCAAACCCAAAGTGCTTCTATTATATATAAATAACTATTCACCATTGATAAAAAAAGAACCTCCCTTTTCAGATAACAAAAAATGTAACTTACTCCATGTATCAGGTTCTTCTTAACATATTCGGAATAATTGTATACCTTTAGTGTTTTAACAAAAACTAAATATCTACACTTAATATCTCCTTTAAAACTATTCAAATTATTTCTTAAATGTTTTCTCACGATAAAAAAATGTCTGAACGGAATCTTGTATACGCACTTGCAATTTATTTATTAATTTTTTGTGAATACATATATACTGTGAATATAATTAGTAATTC